TGGAACTAACAAAATAGGACTTAAACATGTAGTTAGGTTTCAAAGCTGCCGATAAAGTCTAACGTCTAAAGGGTATTAGTATGAGCGCAAGACAGAGTTACAAAATGTGTGTACTTAAAAAATTATCATCAAATAAATTAAAAATGGTCAATGCATTACTTTCGGTGCATGGAGAATGCGGAGAGAAGCGACACAATAGCAGCGACGGCACAAATTAAAAAATAACTTTCCTTAAATAGTAAATATTGATATTCAGATAAATAGATAATGCAGCTATTAATATGAACAAAGTCAAATGCTTTGTTTCTTGGACTGAAACTGAACAACATCAACAAACAACGAACGAACGAACGATCGAACGAATGAAACGAGCAAATGCAAGTGATGGATAGCTTTTGATATATTTTTTGATTTTTTTTTTGTTTAATGTTCTTCTCAGAGAGACTTGTATGTCGTCTCCGTAAGATATTCCTTTTAAATTTGAAGCAAAACACATACCTTGACATTGATAGCCTTGTTTACCAATTCCCCTGCAAAAAGGCAAGAAATTCCGTGGCTATTGCATATATATTTCTTTTATAACTGAATGATGTGTGTTTGTTTGTTGTGTGGGCATGAATGTATGCGAAAAATAAACCAAAAAAGGAAGCAAACCCGCAGCGCGAAACCAAAGAATGAAAGTCAAAAGCATATAGATGAATGTAGCATGAGACGAAACCAGACCAGTGAAAGAATTGCAGCTGCACACGGCAAATATAAAACCCTCAATTAAAGACCAGTTATGTGAGAGTGGTTAATCCAAAGAAATATTAATTAAATTAAGGGAAAAAACTTAAGTTTAATACAGCTAAAATACGTGGTGGAACCCAAAAATGTGAATAAAATCGTTTGCAATACATTTAAGTCGATAAGTTGAAATCAAAAGGAAAAATACAAAGTTAAAATTAAATAAACAAAATCAAAAGAGAGAATAGTAATGGCAATGCTATGTGTGTCTTGTAAATAATCATATAAAAACCCAAAAATGATATATATCTATAAATAAATATATATATATATAAGTGTATATATATATTAATCACTGCAATTACAACTTAAGAATGATACTGTTGATGGACAGTCTGTCTGTGAGTACGCTCAAAGCGTACATACATATATGTGATATTGAATGCGATATTTGAATCACTCACCAAATAAATTCCCGACAATGTGAACAGAAGGTCGGTTGGCGCAAAAACGTGGCCATAAACTTATGCCCGTTGACCTTTAAATGAGAAAGTAAATCGATTGATTAGGTTATTACCAATTATGAATTGTGCAATCTATTTACTTGATGCACACGACGGCGCATAGCGCCGCGGCGTCGATTGAATCCAGCACGCTCTTTGAATTCCTTATTAACTGCCACAGTTTGCTCAACCTCGGCATCAGCTTTCGCTTGATCTGAAAAGTCTAAACGGTTATATCAACCTCCGCACAAAATGAAAGTTACTAACCATAATGTTCATGCCTGCCATTGCGACTTTTTAACTCGATAATGACGTGGATCTTACCCTGTGGTTCCAAATTTATCTATTAGAAAGAAGATTAATATAATATATAATAATACCGCTCGAATGCCGTACCTTTATCTACAAATTTGAGTTACATAAAATTTTAAAAATAATAATTAAAATTATAAAAAGTTAACCGTAAAGTTAACTAAAATCCTATTTACAGAAAACCTTTAATAAAAATAATAAAAAAAAAATTCCCTCAAAATCTTGAAAACTCGAGGATAATAAAATGTCAAATACTTGACATACATTCCTTAGTTTCCTTCAACAAATTGTTGCAAGACAACTTAATTCGATTACAATCCTATTATATAGTTATATATATTATATATCAATATCTGTCAACACGAAATCGAACAAAAGTTTAAATATCTAAATTAATAATTATCTAAATTAATTATCCCTCTCTAAAATCCCTGTAAATTTCTTGATAACGACCACTAATAAAATTTGACTATTTTTACAGATTTCTGCACTCAAGTCTAAACTTAATTGCTATATATTTTTTGCTATAAATTGAATAATATTTTCTTTACTTTAAAAATAAATATAATAATAATATACCAAAATTTATTTATATAGTAGATGAGTTAAGTTGATGAAAAAATTAATTTACCCATAGATCCGGAGCACCTGACTCGCTCTGCATTAGATCCTCGAATGGTATAATGCAATTAGCAACAAAGTCATCCGGCGGCAGGGCCGCATCATGAAAAACAGTTAAGTTGATGTTGCGTGCATTGGTCACGTCGTGGACGAACTGCTCGTTCCATACCGGATCGAATGTCTTTGGTCGGGTTGTCGAACGATCTATTTATTAATGTTTAGCATAAGGATATCTGTTTTCTGCAAGTGTATTTCGATAAGTAGCTCACCAAAATGACTCTCGTCGACATCTATGGACACGTAGGGATCGATCAGCTGCTCATCGGCTAATTTGCCAAATGTTAAATTATGGCGCTTTTGGAAATCTGTTGGACGCAGGCCGCTCGCCTCGCAAACCTTGATTTGAAGTTTACCCGTAAACATTTCGCTGATTGATTCAGCAGCACTTGTATCTCTTTGTTTTGTTTTTGTTTTTTGTTTTTTTTTTTTTTTGTTGTTGCTGTGACGATCTGTATCTTGGCAGGAGTTATCGGCAGCGCCGCGTCAATGCGGCAACGGTGGTTACAAAACGGTTTCGATCAGTGGGGTGTCTGCCAGTTGAGAGGTAATCGAAGTTGTACTAAAAAAAATAAATAAGTTGAGTAAATAGCTGAGATAGCACATTCAGCTCCTATCACTCAAAGATTGTTTTAGTATAGGTCAATGACACTCTTGAATTTGTTTCAAATTTATACATAAATAACACATCTGTGACTATGTAGATGCTCAAGTGAATTTTATAATACATGCTCAAACGAATTTCAAGGTCGCACTCGAATTGACATTGGTGAAAAATGGGAGCACAACAACAAAAGCAACGTCAACAATTACAGCAACAGCAATAGCAACACACATATTCTTAGATATTGCACTTCCGTTCAGCATTGAGATTTGAGTTAGTCAGCATTGGAATTCACTCGCTCAGCGAATTATGAAACGCACAAGAGATAATCACATACAGTTCTGTATTTATATGAATGTATTTAAAAATGCTTATGCACGTTTATAGATAAATATGTATGTATGTGATGTGTATAGATTGAGATAAAGCTGAATTAAAGTTGCCCTTAACAAAGTTACTGTTGTCGTCGCCTAGTTTTGATTTGCTTTAACATATTCTCATACAGCACAATTATTTTTATTTTATTTTTTATGTATTTACTACCTTCAACTCATAAACACACACACAGACGAGCACATACATAGACAAGCACTCGGACAGTGCATACATAGCAGCAGTAGCAGATATTTTTCACAAATAAAACAACAAAGAAAGAATAACAAGCAATCCTAATACCTCTGCTTTAGCCCCACACCTCGATACCCCCACACACACCCACAACTAGTATTGCGATTGCTAGGCTAGCGCACACACGGGCGTACGCTCTTGCTCTCAGTCTCGCTCGCTCTCCCTCTCTCTCTATTTCTTTCGCTCTCTCTTTTTATCTTTTATAAGAACACGAGAAATTCTCATGCACACACACACACAAATACACGTACACATTCCAGCACAAACAATACACACTCGCAACGCAAAACAGCAATAGACCGCAAATGCAAATTGCACAAGTGAATTTGACAATATCACAATTGCGACTAGTGCGTTAATTTTCAATTACTGTTAAATCAACAAAAATACCACTTGAAAACTTATATGTACAAGAGAGAGTATGTGTAAGAGAAATAGAGAAAGAGAGAGAGAGAGGAGCGCGCAGCTTCGTTAAAAAGCAGGGCAACAGAGAACAAACCGAAAAGAACCAAACAGACAGGCGCAGTATATGAATGACCCAAATATGACAGTGCACACTGGTTGGAAACATGTTTTCGCATTTTGTGTAGATTCATTACTTTCGCTTGCAATTCAACGAAAGTAAATGCTTAACCGATATTTAGTAGCATCTTTAACGTATGAAGAAATACTTAAATATCATTATTGAATAACTTTTTTTATCAAATACAATATAATTTAAAAAAAATGCAACTCAATTTAGTGTAATGAGAGCCAGCTGTGCGAAGAGGCTGCCATACATTTTATTAAAAGAGCTTACGCAAAGGACAGAGTAGACCTTCAGGGAAATCGGTGGACATTACTTTACATTACACCTCAATTACTTACCTTTTCTCGCAAGGGTACCGTGGCTGTGGCTGTGGCTGTGCGCCGTGCTGCTCTCTTCGCCTTGCTATGTGTGCGCTCTCAATTGTTGGTATATTAGAGAAAAATGTTCAGCTACATACATGTGTATGTACATACATACATATGTGCGAAAAAATTAAGGATGGCACATACACAGGCACAGCACACACGCACACACATACGCAAACAGACACCCTGTTTGCTCAATTCCAATTGGAAATTATTTCAAGGAATTTTTGCCTTTACGTTTGACAGTGGCAATATGTTTACACTATATTCTCACACAAACACACTTTCCAACATTTTTCGACAATAGAATTTCATTTCTACGCACGAATAATTAAAGCAAAAATAAAAATTATTTATCGTCTCTCGCTCGCCTTTGCCTTTGACAATTACATAGGTTAGTGTGGCTGCAAACCCGATGCCAAGAAATACCACTTAATATGTGCAATTCAGGATTCAAGAATCACAAAAATACGAAAATACTAATTGATAATACTAAAGTGAAATAAATGTAAATATTATTTTGAAATTAATAATTAACGTTAGCATAATTTAACACTGAGTACATATCATATTACACTTAGTTTATTTAATATTTTGCGATCAAAAAATATTTTGTTAGCTGTCACATTAACCAAACTGCTGATTTTATAGCTTGTGGCAACTCTGTTTGTTTTCTAGATATTTCCCTATTCATTGTATTGTCAGGATTTACTTAAAATATTCGCTTTTATTTCGACAAACAATTCTTACACAGAATGTCGATGCGATTTGATTGGTATCAAACTGAGACCAAAGTGGTCATAACAGTGCTCTTAAAGGGCGCCATTGAGAAAAATTATAACGTCAAGATTGAACAACAGAAAGTACATATGACCGCAGATGGCCACGAATTGATCCTAAATCTTCTCCATCCTATTGTTGTGGATCGCTCCTCTCACAAAGCCTTCTCAACAAAAGTAGAAATATCATTGAGCAAGGAGTCGGGCGTGCGTTGGGAAAATCTCGAACAAAAGGCCGACGTTGTTGCAGAACTGTCCACTCGTCAGGCAAAGAACTGGGATCGTTTGGTCAGCGAAGAGGAAAAACTGGATGAAAAGGAGGCAAAAGGGGAGGCCGCTTTAAACCAGCTATTCAAAAAGATCTACGGTTCATCCTCGCCGGAAGTTCAGAAGGCCATGAACAAATCTTATTCAGAATCTGGAGGCACTGTATTAAGCACCAACTGGAACGAGGTCTCCAAGGAAAAGGTCACTGTCAAGCCGCCTGAAGGTACTGAATTCCGCCAATGGGACAAGTAAAACAAATAAGAAACACAAATTCATATTCATTAAGTTTTAATATAATATAATTTACAGACACAGAAATGATTATGCTAATATTAATAAGAAATACATATTTCAATAAATTTGAGCTTAACATTACTAATACAAATGCATCCAATAATGCTCTCGAGTAAGTTGTGAGTGTGTGTGTTTAGGGGGTGGTAGCGCTCAACGGGGAAATTTTTAAGGTGAACAGCTGATCGACTGCCGGCTATGTGCAACGACGCACAATTTTTTGTACTTTTGTAAGAACGGACGAATTTTCATTAAACACGGGACAATATGTATAAAAATTTAGAAGAGCACAATCGGCTAGTCAATAAATATCTTAAGATATTTTTTGTTGTAGCATTGTATTGGTAAGTATCAAATAATTAAGCTTATCAGCTCAGCCAATTATTTTTGTTAAAATTGAACACGTTACCTTTGTGAACAGGTGCACTTCCATATTGACTGTGTTTGTGAACAAACATCTGCTGAGCAGCGATGCTGTAAATTTGGGCGCCCCGCTTTTCATGTCCTGGTATCAGTGTGTTGTATCCACCATCATTTGCTTTGCAATGAGTCGTCTGAGTCGCAAATATCCGAGTGTATTCACCTTTCCGGAGGGCAATCCGCTGGACGTAGACACCTTTCGAAAGCTACTCCCATTAACAGTGCTCTACACGCTTATGATTGGTGCCAATAATCTGTCGCTGGCTTATGTCACGGTCGCCTTCTATTACATTGGGCGCTCCCTCACCACGGTGTTTAGCGTGGTGCTGACCTATCTCATCTTGAGACAACGCACAAGTTTTAAGTGCTTATTGTGCTGTGCCACAATTGTGGTGGGCTTTTGGCTAGGTGTGGATCAGGAGAGTCTAACGCAAGCATTTTCCTGGCGTGGCACAATATTTGGCGTGCTTAGCTCTCTGGCGCTGGCCATGTACTCGATACAAACGAAAAAGTCGCTCGGCTATGTCAACCAGGAGATATGGCTCTTGAGCTACTATAATAATCTCTACTCTACACTCTTATTTTTGCCGCTCATTATCCTAAACGGCGAGCTTGGCACTATTTTGGCATACCCTCATTTGTGGGCGCCCTGGTTCTGGGCGGCAATGACACTAAGTGGATTTTGTGGTTTTGCCATTGGCTTTGTCACAGCTTTGGAGATAAAGGTTAGTGAGTCAACAGCAATAGTGTTATTGCTAAAGATATGTACTTATCAATCATCTGCTGATTACAGGTTACTTCACCGCTAACGCACAACATCTCCGGCACGGCTAAGGCGTGCGCACAAACAGTTATTGCCACGCAGTATTACAACGATGTACGTTCCGTGATTTGGTGGACATCCAATATAGTCGTATTGGTTGCAAGTGCAGCTTACACTCGGGTCAAGCAATTAGAAATGGTACAGCAGCATCAACAGCGAAACACTGCAACATTGAAAGCCTAAGCAAATATTTCCCATAATTCGATTCAAATTCAATGAATTTAAATGTGTCATCAATCTTTATCTACATGTGCATTATATAGTGCAATTCTTCAGTGTTCTAATCGTACGAAGTGTGTTAGTGTATGTCAGTTGATAAAGTGTAAGACGATTAATTCCTCTTATTGTCATAGCACACAAATATCTTTAAATCTTTATATAAACCTATACGTAAACCGTAATCTAAGCAAACCTAAAGACGGATAAAACAGCTCTTGATATATTGGAATAAAAAGTTCCTTTAAATTATATTATTTGTAAACTATGTATTCCGACTATCAATGCGCAACTGGATTATTTAGCAATAAAGCAACCGATTATGTGAGTACACAATAATAAATTATGAACTAATTTGATGCAGTTGCCGCTTCCAGTGCTTGTTGCGGTGCTGGTTCTGCTTCGTTCTTTGCTTCCCTGCTTATTTTGGCAGCAGTCTTGTCGTATAATTCAGGTATATATACAAATGGATCAATTTTTAGTTGTTCACTGCTTGGCGGGCTCTTGAGTAGTACACGAGTTATAAAGCGTCCATCACGCTTGGGTCTCATTGTGTTTACATCCTGCAACAGAAAACGTATATTCTCCTCTAGATGCTGTACATCCATATCCAGCGTGCCCACGCTGGCTTTAATTAAGCCGAAGTTCTGCTGATATTCGTCTTTAGTTGCGCTGTAGCTGATGCCATTCGAGAATTTAATAATCATTTCAGCAAGATTTACGCCAAGTGTCTCGCTCTTTGGATTGGGAAACTTGCGCTTCATCAAACCACGGAGTGCAACGAGCTCTGGAAGTATGTTGGGATGTGCAATAATGAATTGATAATCAGACAGCAGTAGTTCTCCGCCCGTTATGTCCTTAATTAGCTCCACGCCGCCCACGAGTGTGGCGCCTGCTTCGCGCGCTTCAACAATTTCATCCTAAAATGATATATAAGTTAGTAAGCACAAGATCTATGTATCTTCTTCTTTAAACTTACATTTCCTTTTGTGAATACTATGATCTTACGTTCTTCGCCGTGATTAAACTTATGCGGTATCATAGCCATGCGCTGGAAGTTATCCACAAATCGTGTTGCCTTTTCACCTTGCATATTCAGCTCAATTTCCACGTTCAGCGAAGCATTTGGCACATTGTACATGCTTGGGTGATGCGTCTCTCTATGGCATTGTATGGCCTCAGCTACTGTATAAACAGGCCAGCGATAATAGCGTCCCACGTAGACATCATCTTTGGGCACCTGCTTCCAGGAGTCATCCACGTGTTTGTCAGCGCGTTTAACGTTAATTCTAAAAAACAATAAATAATTAGCAGCAATCTGAGTATAGCCCTCTATATTTTCACTTACTTCTTGTCACGCTGATTGTGGGGAATGAATCCAACTTTCTTTACCTCCACTTTAACCTTTTTTTTACGTGCCTTCTCACGAGTGCCTTTGCGAGCTGCTTCCGTGACCGCGGTCAGGTGGAGGCAGCGGAATGCTTCTCCAGTTTGTTGCCGTACGGCAAGAGCACGCATTCTTCCCAAAAGTGTTAACATTTCAGTTATGAATGTTATTTTAATTCTTGAAGCTATTTATGAAGTTATAATTATATAATTCTAACTATTCCCGGCTGTTCCGAACAAAATCATAACAGAAATACAGAGTGACCATCACGTATTGGACAAATTATCGTACACAAAATTATCGATAGCACATCATATGTTGAAATTAAATCAAAACAATTTTGCAGAGTTTCCAAATGACTAAGAAACTAATGCGGATTTGCCGAGCAAATACTTTTCTTCACACGGTTGTCTTAAAATGATTTGTTCCCTTACTTATCAAAGTAAAAGTTCATATATTTTAATTTAATTGTTCTCTGCAAGATGTTCTATAGTGTGATTGTAGTAAATTGACTGTTAATCCAAGTTTCACACCTAGCAGAGTCGCCAAGTGATTGATATTTTTGGGAAATTTAGCAGAGTCACTCCAGTTAAAAGGCAGTTATAAATTTCTGTAAGGACATTTTTAAATATTTAGTTCAAAGTTATCTCTAAAATCTAATTGATAAATATACGATTGAAAAAATGTGGCCAATTCACATTTTTTCCATCAATCTGATAGAAAACGATGGAAGGCAGACGCTCGAGAGCAATACTCTCAATGGCAACTATATATAAAATTAAAATGTTCCGATTTTCTCAAAAGCACGCCAATCGCTCGCCGTGTGCATATGTGCTCAGAATAGATTCGACTAACGAACGGCATAATACGGCTTTCGCGGCGTGAAAAAATCGCGAAAGAATCTCACATAATACAGAGAAAAAAGAAAATTCTGTAGTGGGGCGGGCGGATTGTATGCATAACAAAAGTGCAAGTAATTATTTGTTGTTTTAATATTATGCAAATTCTTACATGTAAATAAGAACAGCTAGAGCATCTTGGCCATAATTAAGTATTTCGGTATATGTTATGCCCTGAAGAACATAAAGTTAAAAATTGTGTATTCAATGTGGCAACATTTTCGATATAGCATTCTGAAAGTGGCGAAACGAACGCCTAGTGAAAGTAATGGGCATTAAGATATACAGATGATGAGCCCCACTCGCAGACAAATGTACGCAGGCACACGCACACGCACACGCACACGCACAACACATATGCATATACACACGCCCATATCCAATGCTGCACCTTGGGGGCCCAATTTCCCCCAAAAATTGGAAATATTAATTGCGTGTAACCTAAAAATGAAATAATGGAAGTGTGCACTCTTCGCCAACTGGGAATGGGGGGTGTCTCCACGAAGTGTGTGGGGTGGAGGGGGCAGGCCAAACAAAAGAGTGTCAGCAATTTATAAATAGTTTACGCCATTGTTTCTATTTGTTGTGATTTTGTGTGATTTTTCATGCGGGTATTTGTTATTTGGCTTGTCGATGGCTGGATTTTTAAATATTTGTACAACAATTTGTGCCATCAAGTGCACTCGCAGCTTGTGGGTGCTTGGAATCGGTTCGTTCCGTTCCGTTTATTGACCACACAGGCATAAATATTTTTCAAATATTTCCAAAACTTTTGCACATGGGGCGAAACGTGCTAAAATTTCGTTTTTCAAATTTATTGTTTATTTCATGTATTTTAAGCGTTACACTTTAAGGCATTTCAAATTACCCCATATACGATACGTATACACAAGTCTGCCAATTTATACATATATATATATATATATATATATATATATCTGTTAATGTGTGTGTGTGTCTGTGTGCGGGTATGTTTGTGTTTGCGTTACTGTATGTGTGGCGGACGTTCCACATTTGTCTTCCTCTTTTATAAACAAATGTTTGATTTCGATAATTCGTGGGATATTCTTGTCTTGCGTGTATTTCTAGTGGCGTATCTCTGCGAGTAAACAAACAAAAGCCAATTGAGCATTTAAATACGCGTATAGACACACATAGCTGGACACTCACACACACATACGTATATATATATACATGTAAATCGAAGTGGACTTGCCCTGGTTTCACAACTTGGAATGGATAGGGCGCCACCGCCAAAACCGCGTCGTGCGCGACACAGAATCAGTGCCATGCACTATGAATCCTTGCCGACGGCACCGCCTGCCATGTGTGGACGGGCCGATGAGAACATCTTTCAGTTTCCCGCTGTGGCATCTCGGGCGCGCAACCTTTCCGCCTCGCCCAAGCTTCGCGATGAGAAGGATTTGCCCGCGTGTGAACATGGTAAGCACAGCTGCCACTTCTGCCAGCCTTACCGAGCAGATCGGGGTACAATCGAGCCGCTCAAGAATCGACTCAACACGGCCATTGAGGCCATGGATCAACTAACGCGCACCTGTGCATTGCTCGAGGGCCTGCTCGAGCAAAAACTGGCCACCATCACGGACAACGAGGAAGAGTCGGCCACCGAAATGGAAACAGATATTGCAGTCTCCAATGCTGCTTCAACATCAATGTCAACCCCAACCGCAGCAGTGGTGCCCGTTGCTGCGCAAGCTCCAGCAACCTCAACTCCCACCGCCGACACCGAGTTCGAATTGGAGCACTCATTGACCTGGCTGGAATCGCTACTAGGCACAGAGGTGCTGCCACCCACAAAGCAGGGCAAATTTAAGCGGTATGTACATACTTCATTTCGATATTCCGAGCTGGGGTTAAACTGAAAGCCACACCATAGGATACGCGAGCGCAGTAAGTCCATGATGGAGGAAGAGATACACATGTATTTGAAGGGCGAACGACAGCTGAAGAGCACCTCTCGGCCATACTTGCTGCGCCGCCAGAGCACCTACAGTGACAACAAGTCCAAGGTGTCCAAGTGGACCAAGGTAAAGGCTGCCTTCAAGTGGGAGCGGGCCAATGTGCCGCCCACAGGTGGCCACGATTCGAACTCCTTAATGCCGCTTAATCTAGAAGTGGAAAGGTATGTAAGATTACTTCTCTAAACTCCGACATATAATCACATGATCCTGCAATCTTTCCCAGATACTTGAAAGTGCCGATAAGCGGTGCTGGCGGCAGCAGCTCAGCGGACAGCATCATCAGCTCCTCATCGGGTCACTTCTTGAGCGAAACTGGCGGCACGCCTGGCACCATCAGCTCGGCAAGCTCCTTGGATGAGCTTCATATGGAAGCTGGCAGTCGCCAACCAATGCGTAAATGTCCTACTTAGTTTACTCCGTGTTATTTGTTGCAGCTGCTAGTTTTATTACAGGGCGACATTCATCGAAGAGCGAGACGCGTGCCTCCAGCTATGAAGTGGAGCTGCGTAAATCTGCCACCGATGAACGCTTGGATGCGGCCAAGTCCACGCTGCCCAGCAAATCATCATCGAATAAATCTCTTCGTCGCTCGAAAGCCTTCTCCGACTTTGAGGTTCTGCCAGAGGATCATGTGGCGGACATTAAGTCGACGAGCAGTCGACGGAACAAGCTGCCGCCCAGTCCCCTGAATCTCAACCAGGTGTGCAGTGATCTGCCGCAGCTGCACTCGCCACTCAAGAGTCCGAAGGATGGCGGCCAGTCAGCTATGTCACGCATGCGTCAGGTCAACTCGCCGGGCAACTCCTCGGTGCCGAGCAGTCCATCTAGGCTATCGGATTTCTTTGGTGAATTTGGTGGGTGAGCTTTTTGGTGGCTACCTAGGCAATATTTGCGGTTTCCATTAACGTCTGGCTTTGCAGAGAGCGAGGAACTGTCAAGTGGAGTTTCCTCGGAGCCCACGACGCCAAACTGTAAGACTTTCACACAGAACGAAGATGAAGTATTTCAACATTATCAACTTCTACTACTCAAACTAGATATGGAGTTCAAGCACAAGCAATGCGAATTAAAGCGAGCCAGTGCGAGTAATCGCAGTAAGACACACGACAGACATTCAGGTAATCCACCGATCACAGCTAATCCTGATTCATTTGCAGGCGTCAAGCTGTGCAGTGGCGGCCCCGGCCCCGGCAGCGTCAGCGGCAGCGGCAAGCGCAGCAGCGAGGAGCATTCACCCACGCAGCTGCTACACAGTGATCTTATGTCCACCGAACAGCTCGAGCAGAATTTGACGCCGCAGTTCAAGAAGAAGCTGCACAAATGGCGCGCCAAGCAGCAAAGCTCCAATTGTTATGCCAGTTCCGAGCCAGCAGCGAGTCCCACCGCCAAGAGTCTGAGCGGCGGCGACATAAAGCCCAAAATCGATTGGAATCTTTGGAGTTCCGGTGCCCTGAAGCTCGAGGGCCAGGGCTTGTGCGCGCTGCCCGACCAAAAGGATTTGCCTGAGAAGTTTCAAAAAAAGCTGGGTGAGTCTACAGCTGTGAGCTACTGCGCGAGTCCAATATTCACTTATGTGAAACGTTAATTCACAGAGCAATGGAACCGCTTGAAATGTGCGCCCGGTGGCGGCACCAACTCCGACAATGATTCCCTGAAACGTGGCTCCAAGCATAATCAGTCCACGCGGCGCGGCTCCGATGATGATCGCTGGTATAAGCACAAGCCGCACGACAAGGAAAAGTGTGTAGATGCTATGTCCTGGCCTGGATCAGCTGAATCAGTTCCAATTTAATCTACTTCCAGATTGGCACGCCTGAAGGCCATTGTGGCGCCGGATCATACATCTAAGAATATTGAAGTCAAGACCTCGGATGGTGAGGTGAGAAAATTCGAGGGCATCTCCCGCAAATTTACGCGCAAGCTCTATGAGTGGGAGAAGGCCAGAGGCATTGGACCAGAGGCCTCCACCTTCGCGCTGCTGCATCCCGGCTACAGTCCTTTGTCTGTGGGCCTCATCAACAGGCAGGAGTGCAATAAGAGTGAGTTCTTCCTCTTGTCAGAAGTGGATATAATATTTTCTCTTATATACAGACAACACCGAACACTCACCGACGCTGAGCCGCTCGCTGTCGCTGGACAGTGTGACGCCGAACGGGAATCAGGCACAGGTCATGTCGCAGCAAGCCTCATCGTTGTCGCTCAACGATATGAACGATTTCAAGGAGATGCAGGACTGCACAGATTCGGCGGATCACGAGTTCAAGAAGTATGACGAGCCCGAGGCCGTTATGGTCGAAGTGGAGGAGCACATACACGACACCGCCTCCCCGCTGGTAACCGCCCACACGCTGGTCGAGCAGCAAACGCCTATTTACAAATACGAGGAGGTGCAGTGCAACGACTACGTGTAAGCTACTGCATGCGACGGTGACCAACTGTAGCTAATGACGCCTTCCCTATTTATTAATTCGCACAGCAACTCGCGTCGCGTTCAGAGCTTTGAGTCGCACACGAACCTGGCGCCGCTGCTAGGCGCACTGAAACGTGCCGACGAGTTGTTTGCGCAGCTCAAGCAGGCCACAGCAGACATTGTGGAGCATGTGGCAATGCGCGATTGCCAGGCTGCCTTGCTAAGCATTCGCAGTATTTATCTCTACTACTCCAACAATTTGATGAAGCCGAGCGTGCTGAATGCCGTGTCCGATGTTCAGAGCGACTTGGGCCGCCTGGCCGAGCTGGTACGTGTCCGAAAGTGTTGTCCGAGCGTCAAATTAAAATATAATTTGCTTCTATATGACAGATTGTAAAGTCGCCGTTGGATGAGGCCTGCTGTCAGGAGACGATGGCAGAGCGCACGACTGAGTACTTGGAGGAGCTTCAAGGTCTACACGAATCGTTACTCTGCCTCAAGTTGAGCATACGTAAGCTCTGCATGATCCATAAATGAGCATATACCTTTTATATATTTCTCCCTCTCTCTCGCTGCAGAAGGCGGAACAAATCGTTTTCCCCGTGATGTTGTACCGGACATCAACATAACTGGCGAGGACGGACAGCAGGTGGAGAGCAGCTCAACCTATGCAACTTGCCATGCTTCTAGCCGCGATCATCTGACGCTAGACGAGCACAGCGCCGCTTCACCCTCACCCTCGCCCATGGAGCACGAGACCGAGACGAGCACCACAACAGGCACGCTATGCCGCGCTAGCAGCTCCGTCAATGCGTCTAAGAAAAAGCTGCGCCTGCGCAAGATGGGCTCACGTCAGAATAGCAAAACCGAGAGCGATAGCAGTGATGCGGATACCCAAAGTGTGCTGGAGACACCGCGTCGCATGCGCCGCAAGAACTTTCGGCTAAAGCAGCGATCTCTAGACGACGATTTTCGCTTGGGCTCCATTTCAACCGGTGCCCATACGCCGTCGGCCGAGCCAGATGAAATCATTTGCAGTTCGCTTAAAGTCAAGCCCGGCGAACGCATCGAGGAGTCACAAAGCATAGCCAGCAGCACGACCCAGCCAACGACCAAGCAAACTGGCTTCGTACCACCGCCGCTGCCAGAGCAGCACACGCGCAACTACAACACCAATGCGAATGTGTTTGTGAAGACTAAGCGCAAGTTGTTCACTGCAGTCCTGAAGCCCAATGCTGCCGAGGGCATAGCTCTCATAGAGAAAGAGTTGGAGAGTCCCACGCATAGCGTCGAGGAGGCACAGTCGCCTAGACCGAAGATGCCGACTAAGCACACGACTCCACGTCCACTTAGTCTATACAAATCCATAAGCTTGGAGCGCTTATCGCCTCTGCGTGCCAAGGACGAGCTGCGCAAGTGCCAGAGCACCAATGATCTGCATCGATCGGCCATTCCGGTGCGTCTGCCCCTTGCTAGCGATAGCATAAAATGCTTGACGCGCTCCAAGCGTCATCTGGGCACGTCGGCCCATCCCCAAGCGCCACCACGCAAGGCGCATCTCTACAAGAAGAACTCGCTGCACAAGTCGCAAAGCGCCACAGTTAGTAACAACATTGAGCACAAGATTGCCAAGACCAGCTCCGGCTCCACCGTGAGCAAGGCCTGGCCAGCAGCGACATCCCTAGTATTGCCCAACAGGCTGGACAACACGCTGCCACGCATACAGCGCAAGTTGGAGGGCAAAGGAAAGGCTTTGCTCACGCCCACCAAGGCAAAGCATTTCGAGTTTCCACCATCCATTTTGGAGCCCCAACGGCCAACAACGCCGCTGACTGAGCGCGCAATGCGGCTGCAACAGGCCAAGGCTGAGTTTCTGCAGAGTGCGCCCGTAACGCCTAGGCAGGAGCCCACGACGCCCATAGCCATTAGCGCTGCGAATCTGCACAAGAGCGTCAGTGTGGGCAGCATGCGCGGCGACGTAGGCTGCTCGACAGAACAGCTACAGCAACGACAGCAGCTGGCGCAACAGGAGGTGACTACGGATCAGGAGAGTGTAAGCAACTCCAGCACCTATGACAGTTTGCCGCGTTCTGTCAGCCGCTCGGCGCGCATCTCCAGCAAGCTGGGCTTTGCCACGCTGGCCTCCAAGCTGCGTCGCGGCGGCAAGAAGCCCAAGGAGCCACCTGCCCCCATGCCAGCCGGCAGTGCACTGTCCGCACTCTGTCGCCAAACGCTGATGGCCGATTTGGTTATTGGTGGCGAATGCCCGCCAGCCAGTCCCTCGGCTTCTACAGCGGGGCCCGCTCGCAATGTGCACAAGTCGCAAAGCTCACCACAAGCGGCCATATCGAACTTGCATGCCAGCTACGAGGGCCTCAACAAATCACTAAGCGAGCAGTATGTACGCCAGCTCAAGGAGAGCGACGTCTAGTCAGCCATTTATGAGCACCTTGAAGTCCAGATCTAACAGCTTACCAAATATATTCTAAAACATAATTCTAAACACATAAGTTTGCTGCCTCTTTCGAGTTCATAGTGGAGCTATCTTCGCGTCTAGGAGGAGCAGTCTAAGAAGTCAATTTTAGTTACATATTTAAGCTTTTCTTGTATTTACTTTGCACAGACTTAGCCTCCTCAAATGTGATCAACTAACCAGGCCTATCGATGGTCAACGTAGTCATCGTCGACATTGTCGTTGTCCTCATCGTCAGCCGCTTCAGCGTCGTGCTCCTGGGCTATTTTCGCTGGCTCTGCGCCGGTATTCCAATAGCGTTCGGCCTCCGGCTTGAGGAACTCGTATTCCGGCTTATCCGCGTCCACAAAAGTAATGCAGACAGTTAGATTTTGGACAGTCTCAATCATTTGCGGAATACTGCCCTTAAATTCCAAGCCACATTGCACCGACTGCATAGCTGCGCCTGGCAACTGATTGTTGACCTTATCGTAGCCAGCGATGCCAACAGCGATTATATCATGCACGCGACGCAGTGCTTTGAATATGTTCAGTGTGCCCGAGAGTATTTTGCCCATCAGCGTTTTCTTGGCTGCAATCTTCTTGTAGATCCGCACTAGTTGCTGCACGTTTTGCTTGATCTCCTTGACGGACGCAACAGTTTCGTCCTGGATTTTCAGTATTAGCCCCATGGTGTGGCTGTAGCAATCAACGCCGCCGTTGATGGCATGCAGTGCTTCCGTGAACTGTGGTACATGGGAATAGCTGCAATAGGCGGCTTGCGAGGCACGTCCCCAGAGGTGCCACATCGCCTCCAAGCCAGCAATGGCAGCTAACACAATCTTCGGTTTGTTCAGCTTCAGCAAATTGATTTCCAAGTCTGTGGCGCGTGCCACAAGCTGGTTGATGCCCAGCTGCGATTCATCGATGACATCCTGTAGTACATCCAGCAGATCCTGCAACTCCAGCAGCTCCTCAGCTGTAAAGTCGCCACTGGGCTGTCCGACCAGCTGTTCCAACGTGGGCAGCGTTGTGTCGTACTCAATGCTGGGATTGTAGCTTAAGTAGCCCTTAAACTGCTCTCGGAATTCATCAAAGACCTTCACATAGGTGTCGTCCAACTGCTCGACCTTGGGCAGCGCCAGCTGAGCACTGCCATCGCCGTTCTGTATAGACAGACTGTATAGATAGTCATGCTGTGCTTGAAGCTCGCGATAAAATGGTCGCAAGGCTTCCACCTCTGTGGCAGACAGACCCAAATCCTTCTCTTGTTGCGCCAGCAGATGGCTCAACTCCTGATGTGCCCAAGCGCTGCCCAGGAGCAGGCAGCCAAGCAGTGGCAGCAGCACAGAAACTTTCACCATATCGCTGCCTCGAATGAAGTACATCAACTGGCAGTCAGTCCACTTTGGGCCGTTTGGACTCTTTCGTCCATTCGCGCTATCGTGGACTGCAAATCTTATCAACGACCACACTTGGATTTTCTTAAATAGTTTGATAAGATGAAGTTAATCTTATTTATGCCTATCGCGCGCCAATTCGCAACAAACTTTTAATCTTCAAGTAGTCAATAATAAAATTCATAAATATACATAGAACATGGATTATCCAAGAAGTGAAATTAACTAATCGAGCGCTTAAAGCTTTAAACTAGTTATTTACCAAATCGTATCTGATTTCAGTTGAATGGGGTTTGTTTCCATTTATTTAGCTGAGTTTTTGTTGCCCAGAAATATGATAGGTCTACTGAACCCTATAAAAGATATGCCTACTAGACAGCAACAACATCATTCCATGGATTCATCCGTCCACAAATAGATCTCAAGGTCTGTAAAAGAATTCATTGGCTGGACACGTAGAGCCAAATTTAATTTCAAATGTAAAGCTTTTCAGTCGTCATAATGAGTCATTCCTGCATTCTCTAAGTAAACATACATAATTCTACAAATTGGAACAATCTATCAGAATGTGTCCTTCACTTCACTATAAATGCAGTTTCACGCCACAATTGATATCTGCGTCGTTGACTTCTTTCAAAGCCCAATGACGGCAGCCAGAAAGTAAGTAAATATTATATGTTAACTTATTTTTGTTATCGCTTCTGAGTCATTCAGATGTACTTTTGCCCAATATTACCCTATGATAGATTTTATTGAAAATGCTAAACAGTTGAACTGAAACAAATATTTGATGGATGATATGGGATATATATCACTATATTTATGTGGATAGCGTGTGCTTTCCCTGCAAATCAAAGCAAAGCATGATCAAATACTACTGATTGATTGGCTGATGATTGATGACGAATGACTGATCAAAGCACAGCATAAATAATAAGATTTTAAGAAAAACTAGACAAGTTTACTATAGCCTTTCAGTTTAATCAGAAAATCTGAAATTTCTTTATCATTATGGCCGAAGCTTATATCATTTTTCCACTCTAAAGAAAAATTTAATATTAAAAAATAAATAAATTAAAAAAAAAAAATATATATATATATATATATATATATATAAGTATTCCAAGCGCTTAGCAAGTGTGCACAAAAATCGATGTACCAAATTTATATTTCTTATCTTTTTGCTTGTTTCAATTTTTCATCATGTAAATTGCGAAGCTGTGTAGGGTTCTTGTGTCTTATGGTTTTTATCATAAGTCGGCGGCAATATATATTTGGCGTTGCCATTGCCATCGGCTAGCACTAGGAACTGACGCATCATGGGCAGAGCAGTTGAAATTTTAAGCTTACTTTTGCTGACTTGGGCTGTTAGTATATGTGAAGCAAAGTGATTTCAATGATTTCCTCATTTCGTCAATTTCGTAGCACACTCAGGCGGCGAGTTCCAGCAACACGAACAGCATTACGGAAACCACGGAGACTACAGACTCCACGGAGGCAACGGAGACAACGGAGACAACGGAATATGGACCAATTAGCATAGTGGTTGACCAGCTATCGAATATGGCCGTGAATATTAGTGACCAGACGTCCTCACAGCTGCAGGCGAACATCGAGCACACGTTGACGAACATCATGGACAGTCTGGAGGCGCTGACTACCAATGCCATGGCAGAGATAAGCATGGCCATCGACGACACGAATCAGCTGCTGCTGGCCAATCCCAACTGCAATGCCGCCTGGAATCTGCAAGACTTCACGCTCAACGTGACAGATGAGCTCAGAGCCTGCACGGAGCAACTGACCAATCTGATTGGAACCTATCGCGCTGACGGCGAACGTGCGTTGGCCAAAGTGCAGGGCTTTGTGCAGCAGATGGCTCAGCTGCCGGGACTTTGTCAAAGTCTAGAAATGGGCGTGGCATTAGTGCCCATGGGCATTAGCTTTGATACCAGCAACAGTTGCTTCTTGCGCGGCATCGCTGCCATCAATCAGGGTCTAGCCGAAGCCATGCACAACGCTTCCATGTTGCTGGTGCGCACGCGTCGTCTGTCCCAGGATCAATTGGCCCGGTCACAGCAGTGCAGCAATGCGCTTGTCGCCCAGGTCACTGAGTATCTGCGCGTTCAGCGCGCCAATTGTAGTTAAGTAGGACTTAAACTATTCATAAAAGACAAATTTCGATTGTTACGCACGCAAATATAAATGGCAATTTATGCACCCAAAGGATACGCTTGGACAGGATGCATCGGGCTCATTGGTTATGCATGCGCATACGTCAGCGGAAGAGGAATTGCAAGCGAGCAGCATTGACATTTATTTGACAAGTTTTTGATTGATTTTACAGCTGCCCCTTTGGCATAATCTCCATGCATTTATTGGCCTAAGCACGAAGTTCACTTTTCAAACTCGCTTGCATCTAATTTGTATATTTTAAGGCTAACTCTTCTGGCCAATTGGTCAATGGGCTTTGCCAGCGACACGTGGCAAACACACGAACTAAACATCAGTCAAACAACTACAGCAGAGGCAACAGCTGGGCAACGAAAGAGACAGCGATGCTTGGTGGACATTCGCTTACTTTTCTCCCTCTCTCTCTCTCGCTCACTTGAGTCATGCATTTCCGCAGAGAGCCAAATTATTTTGACCTGCGCCCGGACACTGAGCACAATTTGGATGCGCTTTGCTTGCAGCTACTTTGCTGCTGCCCAACTGTTGCTCCGAAATTGTTTTCAGTGCATAGGAAACCACGAACCAACAGAAAATTCCTACTTTAGTTTTTGTTTTTTGGCTCAATGGCGCAATTTTACCCAGTCAGCCTCTGAATTTTATCTTATTTTTACGAGTCGTAACAGTTGTTGTTGATGATCGCGTTATTGCTGTGGTTGTTGTTGCTCTTGTTGTAGTTGTTGTAGTAGTTCAAACTCTGTGATACCTATACAAGGCCTACTCCAACATCTGTTGAGCATTTTCTAGACAACTGACGGAACCTGGTGACGAACCGAGCCCAAGACTTTTCCCCAGTTGGAATTGCCCAATGCCAAGTAGCGGAAAAGTGCAAAATGAAAAATTGTGAGCTGTATCTATATATAAATATGACTCGATTAAAAGCTTTTTGGGAAGTGAATAGTTTAGCATGCCAGAAGCATCAGATCATATGACAGACTGTGCAATAGAGTAGCTATAGTGACTATGACTAGGGAATACATCTGACTAAGAAAATTTGAATTGAATTTAAATGTTAATGACAGCAACTATAGATATAGACATAGATTTAGATATTGATATAGATATAGATATAGATATAGATATAGATATAGATATAGATATAGATATAGATATAGATATAGATATAGATATAGATATAGATATAGATATAGATATAGATATAGATATAGATATAGATATAGATATAGATATAGATATAGATATAGATATAGATATAGATATAGATATAGATATAGATATAGATATAGATATAGATATAGATATAGATATAGATATAGATATAGATATAGATATAGATATAGATATAGATATAGATATAGATATAGATATAGATATAGATATAGATATAGATATAGATATAGATATAGATATAGATATAGATATAGATATAGATATAGATATAGATATAGATATAGATATAGATATAGATATAGATATAGATATAGATATAGATATAGATATAGATATAGATATAGATATAGATATAGATATAGATATAGATATAGATATAGATATAGATATAGATATAGATATAGATATAGATATAGATATAGATATAGATATAGATATAGATATAGATATAGATATAGATATAGATATAGATATAGATATAGATATAGATATAGATATAGATATAGATATAGATATAGATATAGATATAGATATAGATATAGATATAGATATAGATATAGATATAGATATAGATATAGATATAGATATAGATATAGATATAGATATAGATATAGATATAGATATAGATATAGATATAGATATAGATATAGATATAGATATAGATATAGATATAGATATAGATATGCTCTCGCTCTCGCTCTCGCTCTCGCTCTCGCTCTCGCTCTCGCTCTCGCTCTCGCTCTCGCTCTCGCTCTCGCTCTCGCTCTCGCTCTCGCTCTCGCTCTCGCTCTCGCTCTCGCTCTCGCTCTCGCTCTCGCTCTCGCTCTCGCTCTCGCTCTCGCTCTCGCTCTCGCTCTCGCTCTCGCTCTCGCTCTCGCTCTCGCTCTCGCTCTCGCTCTCGCTCTCGCTCTCGCTCTCGCTCTCGCTCTCGCTCTCGCTCTCGCTCTCGCTCTCGCTCTCGCTCTCGCTCTCGCTCTCGCTCTCGCTCTCGCTCTCGCTCTCGCTCTCGCTCTCGCTCTCGCTCTCGCTCTCGCTCTCGCTCTCGCTCTCGCTCTCGCTCTCGCTCTCGCTCTCGCTCTCGCTCTCGCTCTCGCTCTCGCTCTCGCTCTCGCTCTCGCTCTCGCTCTCGCTCTCGATATAGATATAGATATAGATATAGATATAGATATAGATATAGATATAGATATAGATATTGATATAGATTATGTTATATTATATTATATCTATAAAGCAAGTTCTGTTTTAAATTTAAGGTTTTCTCTCTCAAAAATATTTTTAGCACTTTAATGCCAGCTCATCGCTGAACTTCATTCAAATACTTAAAAATATTTAATATGCATTTTCTGCACGTCATTTACTCACCTGATACACAGGTAAAGATCAATTTCATAGGAAGCTCGCCAACACTTTAACGATGCTCCTTTCGCTGGAATCGCGGCCACATTTGGACTGCAGTCTAGCAAAGCTTTCTACTTTTCCTTGAGCAACAATGTATTCATTAATATGATTTTAATCACTGTGGCCCTGATGCAGGCTGATTCTCGAGTCTACGAATCCTTCGGCATACACTTGATCGTCTCCCGTTTAATGTATTTGCTTGGCTTAATTGAACTTTCGGGCTTTAATTTTGATTGATGCTGAACCATATGAGAACTGCAATCATTAAGCTGCCGTATTTCGTTGCCGCAGGACATCTAGAATCGTCTACTAACTAGTATTAAACAGTTTCTATAAAGTTTCTTTTTTTCTTTGGTGGCTTTGTAGCCAACTGGCGCACCTTCGATTCGACCTGAGCATGAACACAATAAGAAATTATCATTATTATTATTATTTGCTCGAAACGAGCCGCGTGGCGTGCGAGTGAAAGCCAGCCAAAAAGGACTAGCACCGACGAGCGGCAGCCAAAGCGAGATAGAACCAACACTCAAGCCAAAGGGCAACATATGCTGCCCAAGGATCGCTCAGAACAAACGGACGGCGCATGCCGTCATCTGGTGCTACTTTGACTTCAAAATTGGGTAGCATTTGCCGTTGCCGTTGCCGTTGCCGTTGCCGTTGCCGTTCCCGCTGCTGTTCTCCTTTGTGGGTTTATTTTTGTTGTAGCTGCTTCTTTTACGGTTCGATATTTTGCTGCTCTCGTCAACTACTATACAATTTCAAGGAAGCAGAGGGCTCCCGCTCCCCCGCTCAACAGTTACTGTTGACTTCCGATAAGCACGAGTGAGGAAGAGCGACGAGAGAAAAGAACGGCAAGCGCAACAGCAGGATAAACCGCTTAAAGGACATGGCCAGCAGTGCGCCAAGACAAATTGGAAAGGGTTGCTGTTGCTGATGGACTGCAAGAGCGAAGAAGGTGTGATGCCGACAAGGATACACAGATGCAGCTCAGTTAACCACTGCCGGCTCTTGGGCTCGACTTACAAATCCGAATTGAGACCCAAACTCGCGCGCACGCTTCGCAATGCCTGGCCATGAACACGTGTGCCCAACCAACGTCAGCTGGCCGGGTCAGGGATAGGGCTAACGGCATAGCACTTTCAATAATAGTTACAAATGAAAAGCAGAACAGAACCAAAATAATCATAGAAAATGGCGGTTTGCTAATTGCAGACTAAAACATACAAATCTAAATATTTTTTAAAAAAACCTATGAATACTCTGTGATATAATATATAAGCCAATAATTGTGACCAACTTTTTAATAGCCTGTTTTGTATTATTAATATAATACATTTAGAATGGAATCTCAGCGAATAAGTCCTGGTTTTTTGATAATGTATATGGTAGGCAGACTCTATAAAGTATATGTATTATAGATCGGAGCTGATTCGATCTGGCCTTGCGTGTAAGGTTTTGTAATTATTATTTTTTACTAAAACGTAATTTTTAAATAACTATTTTCTTACAGTTAAGTATAGCGAAGAATGTTCGAAACAGACTAGATCAGTCTTACTTGTAATTATTTGAATTTCGTGACAAAGTGTGAGAGGAATACAATTAGGCGTCGAGCATAATATTGTTTCTCTTATGTGGACATATATCATAAAAAATCAATTAAAATTTAAAAAATAAATTGATTTTTTAACTAATTTTATCTTAAAGATATTTTGATTTATTTGTTAAGATATTTGGCAAATTTATTTTAACAAATTTTATCTTAAAGATATTTTGACTATATTATTAAGATATTTGGCACTACATAGATAGGGCCACTAAAATGTTTTTCTGATGATAGGCAACATCAGTTTTTATGTTTTGTATTATATTTAGTTTTTAATATACTTAATTAATGATCAACCAAAAAATTAAATAATGAAATGAATGAACTAATGTATATAATATATATTTTCTCTGAAGTAATTTCAGTATATTATATGCAATTATAACAGATAAAATATCAAACTATAACGAAAGCAGTTAACAACATTCATTATATTATTTTTTATTTGAACACGCAAAAAATTGACAATACTGAAAATGTTGACAGAAGACAATAAGAAATTATTGGTTTACCTTAACTACAGATGTAATATAATTTAATTGCAGCTACAATTCTAGAGGCTGACAGTATATTCTGGCATTGTTTGCAGTCGACTCTTACCTAAACATTTGCAAGTCTATGAAAGCAATTAGTCAAATGGTCTGCCTTTAGATTACCAATGCAGCATGTTGAAATAAACATAATAAATTGTGGCGATTAATAAATTACCGATTCCAACGGCGTAGAGAATTTGGGACTGTTTAGAAATAGCCAGCCAACAATAACAGAAAGTTAATTTACATTAAAATTTGGAGTTGTAGAAATAAATAATGAACTTTGGCTGGAGGAGACAAATGTAAAATTTAACAGAGCGCGCAATTCAATTAGAGAATCCTGCTGGAATACAAAAAAATTAAGCAATAAAATTTGATTTGGTTCACGCAAATTCAAACCGATTGTCCAGCATCAAAAGGAGCACAGCGAAAGGCAAACTGAAATAGAGTAATAGCAATGAATCAGGACTTGTGTTGGGCAATAAAATGCCTATTCTAAGGTCAAGCCGTTGCCGTTGCCGTTTTCAAATTCGTGTCATAATGTGTTGTAAGTAGTTGCCTTTGTGTCCTGCGCGCGCACAAAGGACTCGCCGGGGCGGGAATTTGTGAGCGCTATTGTTTGGCTGAAGGACCTGCGCCGTTGGGCACGATGGGAACACCCGCACGGTTCTCAGGCATCGGCTGGCTCTTGGCTGCTGTAGCAGTTGCGACCGCAACTTGACTTACTGACCACCAACATAAAATGTTGACAGCCGGAACACGCCTCTAAAATATTGTTGCGAAGCGAGTCCTGTGCGGTCCGCAGCGCTTGGCTCTTGATCCTTGAACAGTTCAAGCCGATCAATGCGCCAATCAATTGATTGCCTGATTTTGACAGTTATGAGCTGCTCTTCGTGCGTAATCACCTTGCCGTGTCCATATCTTGATTTCCGCCGAAATCCTCTTTAGAGTCGAGTCCCACAGACAGCGCCCGATGTGTGCGCCACAGTTGCCAAGGAATTTATTGTTATTGACATTTTAGTTGGATGGAATCACACGGATTATATCTGCTAATTGCACGTATATCAGATATATCCCTTGGCGGCGCCCTTGATGGTAACTTTTCTTTCGTAATTAGCAAAGCTAAGTTTTGAGTTGCCATTGGCATAGGTTAGTCTGGTCAGAAGAGTGTGAAGCGCTCACTTAAAGATAGTTGAAAGTCAGCTTCAGGTGCCTTGCGCACCTGCAGACAACACGCTTTCCCTATAAGAGTTCCGTTGCCATGTTACGATCGCCAATCTGAAGCCCCACTTTTCTGAACGCTTAGGCACAAATGGCCTGGAAAATCACGACTTGCTGCGTCGCCCAGAGGTGATAAAGTTTCGCACATTAATACTTAATTACTTGAATAATTGGAGCCAAGGGATTAAATTCACACGCAGTTCACAAACGCACAAGCCAGAGCCAGGGCCAGAGCGACTGGCGGTAGGTGCTTGCAGGTGAAAAAAAGGGCGAATAAAAATCACAAGCGACGTGACCAAAAATTCTCCAGACAGTGGACAAAACTTGAAGTGATGCCAAAGCCACCGACGTCGTTGACATTAAATTTGCTGCTGTCCTGCGACATGTTGTTGTTGTTGCTGCTGTCTGCTGAGCTGAGCTTAAACACAAAATATGAGCGCACCCTGGATGAATTTTTCACACGAAATCCTGATTAATAAATATATAAGTACCCAAAAATTTAACTGATAATTTGAAAAGTCGTCAACCTGAGCTGAAGTTGGCAGCCGCTGGGACGCAGACGCACGGGCGAACGGGACAGAGATTTCATGTGGAGCCTGCGCGAACCTCCGGTGCCCAATTACAAGCAAATGAGCTGGAAAACTGTATCAAATGACCCCCGAATACGAATACAAAATTACAGACCGCAAGACCAGAACAAGTCGCAGCCAACAAGAATCTTTGCCAAAAAATTCTCTCTCTCTCTCTCTCTTTATTTCTTTGTCTGTCTCGTTCTCGATCCCTTTGTAGCATCTTAACGTGACAAAGCGATGGAGATGGCTTGCGTGTGGCAATTTCAGTTTAAAAAACTACAGCAAGGGCTATAAGATTTGGACTTAAATACTCTAACTTTTGAGTTACTCGAGTGCATAATTCATTTAGCTAGCAATATTAATAGAGTTTAACTCACATATCGTAAATATGCAAGGCTCAAGCTCGAATTTCGTAAACTCCAACAGCAGCATTCTATGAGATCGTATCACAAATTTGAATATCTGCTAAATTAACTTTACTTTAAATATTTATATTTATATTACTTAAATCTTAGCTTAACTAACTCTTTTTCTTTATCAAATTTAAAAACTTTTCTAGTAGAGTATTCACGCTTCGATATTCACTTAAATACTCTTCCATTGTTAGCTGGCTTTTTTCTTGGCTCTGCATCTTTGGTAGCATCTTTGCGTTTTTGCTGTGTTAATTTGATGCCTCGCCCGAAAATTGTCAAAAAATCAACGTCGACTTTGATTTTTGATGCACTTTCACTGACGATCGTCGATCGGTTGTGCTGTGTGCAGCGTGAGATACTCGAATCTCAGACGAGAAGGAGAAGAGCAAAGGCTCTAAGCCTTTGATGCCTGCCACCTACTTGGACAGTTTGTTAGGGGCACAGCAAGTGAACTCAGTCAACTGGAGCGATGTGTCTGTGTGGCTAATTGAGTTGCCCAGTCGAGCGATCGGCCGTGCGAATTGTTTGTCAACCTGTAACGGTTAAATCTTTTGCTCCTGCAACGCTCGACAGTAACCGGAGCTACTGATTGATGGATGGCTGGCTAGCTGGCTAGCTGGAAGATGAGCGTAGCGAATGCTTGACTAATTGGCCAAAACTTCCTTAAACAAACAGCGATCTGCAATTGGGTTCGGCTTTGACTTTCACCGATCAGGCAATGTTCCTGTGTTTATTACGGGCCGCACACAATGCCGGCGTAGGCGGGACCGGCGTGATTTGGTGTCGCTAATTACAGACTTGGCATTTAACGCAGCTCGTTTTATGGCTTAATAATTGCAATCGCTTGCCATCGACTTCGGCTTTGACTTTTGGCTAAGACCAAAAATGGGCCCACACACACACAGCTTGCTGCAGCAGGCAAAACCAGGCCGAGGATCAGATCAGAGCGCACATCAATCAGCCGACTGCAATTCAGTTTCATTTCTGTTGGGGTTCGCATTGGCGCACGCAATTATTACGCAATCATTAAAGGATCAGCGTAAAATGTTCACACAACAATGCCAAAATAAAACCGCCGGAAACGGAAACTATGTGCACTTCAGCCAAAACCATTTGTGTACAAAACATCTACAAAAATACAACAAAAAATGTTGCGGTTTGTCTGGTTTTTTAATAGTCCATCAATGTGCCCAGCAAGGCATGAGAAAATGTTTTATGCTCTTAGAAATGGTAAGAAAAACAATTAAAATACAATCGAAAACCGCAAAAACTGAATGAAAAAAACTAATCATCATTTAATGGGGATTACTAGCCAAAATGTACAAAAATATGTATTCAAATTATTAAAAAATATATATATATTAAATATTTAAATAAAATATTTTTAAGATTCCAAACTGAGCACCATTTATCATTAAAGTGATATGTCTGCATTGTTCTTGTTGAAGTTCTATATTTTTTAAGATTTATTACGGCTTTAAAAGGATATATCTTTAAATGCTTAGATGTGACATACTTATTGATACTTAACTAAAATAATTACAGCTATAATAGAAGAGCACATATATTTAAAATCTCAAGTCTTAAGTCCTTCAGCATGAAGGACGGACAGACGCACAAGGCGCGTTGCTTAATGTGTCGAGTTAGCAAATAATTATACAAATTTTGAGGTAATTTAGAAATGGTAAAGCCTATAAAGCTCAATTCTTAAAAAAATTATAAGTAACAGTGCTCTAGTCGGGAGTGCCTGATTAGAAAAATACGCTGAGCCCAGCGAGACCGCTGCGTTCTTAGGGATACACGCCTGATCGCCTTGGCAATATAATTAATAAGAGCTTTCTGCCTGTTACATTAATGCCCACAAGATAATTATATCCTGAATGGATTCAGATATCAATACAAAATTTAAAACTACAATCAACGCCTTATTCAATCTAAACTTAAGCCCTCAGTTAGCTAACAAGTAAGCTAAAATTATAAGCAACAATAATACAGTGTCCTTGGCGCAGCAGCAACAATAACTTTATACAGGAAACAGGCCCAAAGACGTCTTATTGTAACTTGTCTTATCTAACTTGTAGTCCAATTAGCTGTCAGCATTCAGTGGGCTTGTGATGCGGTTGGCCACATCGATCGATGCCCCATGGGGACGCTAATAAGAAGTGACAAATTGATGGTGTTAAAGCTCATTAACTTGTTTAACGCAGATACAGATATTGCAGCTTAAGATCAGTAACCGCTTAAGCAGACTTTTGCAGACGGCAAAGAGGAAAACCTCAAAATAAAGCGCGCCAATTATCGACATGACAAATTTTTGGGCACATTAATTCCTTTACGACCTGTTGCCGCAGCGACAACGAAAAACCCACAAAATATGCAACAGGGCGACGTACCCTTAAGCTCGAACTGAACTCCAATTCGAATGCATAATAATACGTGTTAATAATGCTCAGGCAAGCTGTCTATAAATTGACAAAGACATGCAAGACTCCGACTGGGGCACCGACTCTGGCTTCAGTTGTTGCTGCTGCTGCTGCTGCTGCTGCTGCTGCTGCTGTTGGCGGCATCGGCATTGCCAAAAGCCGACTGGGGTCGCTCGCACGTAAGTTCCCATTGCCATTCATGAATTCTAACTAATTGTATTGGCAAGCAGTTGCATTTTGGTAAAAGATGGAAGCTGGATCGAATCTGTGCAGCTGCACAGCGATCGGAACGTAGCTCGGTTGCACAAAGCCATTCAAGCCTGGCAGGAAGAAGCCCCAGCACAGCCAAAATCGAAACGCAAACTTTATTGTTGTTGCTGTTGTTATTGGTGTTGGTGTCGTGGCGAGCCGAGAGCTAAACAATTTGTGTAATTGACAAATTGACGGCGGCGCATTGTGCGGAAGCGTTCAAAGCCGTAAATTGTCGCTAACAAGAGCGCGATCCCAGGCACACAAACAGCGACACCGACACGGACACGGACACAGACGGTGGCACAGACGACAGGATATTGGGGCTACCTGCATAATTGCCACTGTCAGCCTGTAGCCTAGCCAAATGCGAGGGAGAACTCTAAATTAAGTCATTAACAATTTAACGAAGCGCTGTCCAAGCCGCGCCGCTAACTAATTATGTGAATTTCCTTTTGATTGTCCAGGCCACGCCAGGCTCGGACTGCGCTAAGCTCTGCGGCAACGCCCGAAAATCATTTTATAAAACAAACAGAAAAAGCGGCCCACGTAGCAATGTCCTGTGCCCCCCTCCCTTAAAGTTCCCACTGCGATTGTGTAGTGGCAGGCGATCGTCAGTCGGTGGGCTATCAACAAATTGGTTTTGTATCTTCCGAGTGATTGAATCGCTGACCCGACTGACATGGCCAGGAACTGCTGAGCTTTCTGCTGAATGAATTGGCAGTCCTTAACTCCAGGCTTAAGTCAGCTTAAGCCAAGTCTCAGCCTTTGTCGGTTATCCGCCAGCAACGATCATCAATCGAACTTCGCTTTAAACGATTTGTGAGTGGCGCTCGAAGTTTTTATTTTGGTTTTTTGGGGCTGCGACTGCTGAAAGCAGATCAGCCCCACACTTAACTTAATTTGGCAGCCACACTCCGCTGCGCTCTGCCATATAATTATCGGCACAATACTGTTCGGGGATCACTTTTCGAGTATTTGTTTTGGCCAGCCTGTGTAGCCGGCGACTAATTTCGGTGAACTGTCTGCAAATTGATCGCGAAGCGCCAAATCGATCACCTTGCTCCACATAATAAAGCTGAACTCAATGCGCGCGACTCAGCTCAACTCGACTCGGGCAGTGTGTGAGAATCGATGCAGTGCGTTAAATGAGGCGCCTGGAAAGGAAGCGCCAAGTTCTGCGCAAAAGGTGAAGACTTTAACTGAACTTCAGATCGACTGCGATTGACGGGTCGCCCCAAAAGTTAAGCAGAGCCTAAACATTAAACACACAGCCAAGCGCAGATTATGTGATGCGAAATAAGCAGCAAAATATTAAATAACAAATACGGAACAAGGGCTCATAATGTGCCTTGCTTGTACTAGATATGCTATAGACTGCATTATTCTTATTTATATAATTAATAAATTCTGGGAAATTAGACAATGTAAAGTCCGTTTCTGGAACAGTTGAAGAAGCTATGAGAGCTATGAGAGTTGTCCTATAAGACAAAAAATTAATAGATTTTTATGCCTAGCTTATAATTTTCTATATCAGCACTTATTAATTTTATAATACATCAAATATCTTCTGCAATATTTCTATAACATTTTTGTATTCGATATTTGAAATATTTATAAGATTTAATAAAGGCAGTATAATGAGTTTTTAAGCACATTTTTTATGGTAACTTTTCCCATACCAATATTATATAGATATATTATATAAATTAGATTTGCTAAAAGAATTCAATACATAATTTTTTCTAAGAGATAAAAATTATTTTAAATAATTTCTAGAGTATTTCAAAATCTTTTTAAACTTCTATTCATTCTTTTCATTCATTGCTTCCTGACAGAAAATAAATTGCATAAAATAAATATATATATTTTTTTTAATTTTTAAAAATTTTATTTCGAGTCTTAATGTTTAACTGAAAATATTTAACTAAACAATTAACAGCATAATACTTAAACAATAATTTCCTACTGGGCGCTAGCTTGGCAGACATATATACAGGAAAAGGTACAACATTTGGCAAAGGAGCGTAAGCTGCGATCGGTTAGCGCAACAGGTCACCCAGAGCTGTGATGTAGGTCTGGGCCATTTGGAGGGTTTCGTGCTTGGACAGCTGGCGATCATTGCCCAGGCAGGGCAGATACTGGCGCAGTCGGTCGAAGGCCTGATTGAGGCTCTGCATTCTGCGGCGTTCGCGTGCATTTGCTGCCAGGCGGCGTTTGCGCTTGACCACGGGCGAGATTTGCTTATTGCGACGCTTCTTGCCGGCGCCTGTAGCTGTCGCATTGGGATTGCCCGCTGCATCCTCGCTGTCGCCATCGCCCAGCACAAAGGAGCCATCGTTGCCCTCGCCATCGAAGTCATCGTCGAAGTCGAGCATCATATCGTCATCATCCTCCACGCTGTCATCAAACAGAGCGGAATTGTCAAAATCAAAGCTCTGAAAGTCATCGCCATAGAGCTGGACATTGGACGCGGGCTGAGCTGAGTTGGTTTGGCTTAGAGTGTCGTTGACTGGAGCTGCCACTTGCTGGTTCTTGCGCGTGTAGCTGCGCTTGGGCTTGGTCGCTGGCGCTGCGGCTGGCAGAGTCTTACAAGTGCCCACATTGGGTGAGCCCATAATCTCCATGGCTGGCTGTGCTGCAGTTGCTGGCATTGGCGGCGCCGGCTGCTCCAGTGGCAGTGCAAACTGCTGGGCCTGCGGCAAGCCATTGCAACCATTGTTGTAGATGGTATTCAGATCAACATACTCGGGACTCTCGGAGCGATGGCTGGCCGGCGAAGAGGTGATCCAGCCATCGGAGCTGGCCTGCTCAAAGCTGATGAAGCCATTGGCAGACAAATAATTGCTGGAGCTGGCCAGCGTATTGCAATTGAACTGATAGTGCGTCACATTCGGATTGTAGGCGGCCATGGGATTGAAGTAAGGCTCCGCTGCGCCTGGCTTGAAGCCCTGCAAATCCTCAGTGGTCTTGTAGTAATAGCGATATATCTCACTGGACGACATGTTAGCAATATATATATAAAGTCTCAACTAGGATTGTGTAGTAAACAACTTGAACCGTTCGCCGTGGCTGCTTGCGACTGTCTGACTGAGGCCTTATCCTGGCAGCGCTATTTATACGCTCCACGAAAACCTACCATGGCGGGCAGGTAAGAGGAACAGAGCGAGGGACAGGTAAACGAGTTGCCTGCCTACCTACCTCGGCCACAGGCAGCACGTGCCGTGCCAGACCAACAGCCAATGGCAAGCGGTGGTGGATTGAGCTGTGTTGGAATTGCTCTGCCTCGTCGAGCTTCAGCAGCAACAGCAACTACTGCAGCCCCAGCCTGTAAAATGGCGCTGGCTGGCCAGAATAGAAGCTGTGCTGGCGCTTATCGGTGGCAATCTAAAGCCGCTAACAAGATGATTATGGGGTTGTGGTCGTAGGATGTGCCGGAACACGGGGCGGAAATGCAAACAAACCTATAACAGGATTAGGTTCGACCACTAAGCGCTGCGAAATTTGCAAAAATCCAAACATAAGAACATTGAGATTGCCACAATGATTTGTCAGCAGCAAATGGCCAGCAACATCTTATCTAAATCGTCGCCAGGACTCAGCTAGAAGACCAAAGACTGAGCCGCTAAGCAACTCATGCTTGACCCAGCCAAACTCTACCTGTGCTGGCCACACCTTTACAAATGTGCCGCCGCACAGGCAAAGCCACCAGCACCACCGATGCCCGAAATGATATCGCAATGGAAAATCTTGTTTATTACAACCTGGCAAAAATTTTCCAATTGATATGCTCGTGTAGGGCAGGACCTACACGCCGACGATGCGCTCGGCGCTTGCTTGTTAGCCGAGCGTCAAGGACACGCTTGATAGTCCGCATGGGCATGCCTAATAAGCGTGCCCGGCGCTAACTAACTCGCATAGTTAGACTCACATTTTAGCGCTAACAATTAATTTAGCCTCACATCGTCCAGGCAATTTAGTTGTAGCCGTAGCATGAGACAGCGCATTTAGCTAAGGGGAAGGGACTCGCATGGTGGTCGATCTCAGAGCGCAGCAACGCCCAACCAGCCAAGCCAAATGATTCGCTGGAAATCATATTGTGCGAGTGCATTTGATATGAAAATCTCTTTATGCTGCCGCTGCCGCTGCCGCTGCCTTTGATGTGTGGGCGTTCAGCTAACTGAGGTAGCACGCCCCACGCAGCATTTCGCTTTGCTGCTGGACTATCGGCAGTGCACATCTACGAGGCGGCAATAAAACGTTGTCAATTAGATAAAAATGTCACACAACAAACCGCACCCAGCGCAGCACAACAAATTTATTGGCCGCAAGCAACCCCCGACTGCCAGGCTGCATCTGTGCGCAGCCTTTTGCTGCTCGTCTGCCGTTGCAAGTGCAATTTACGAGTGGTTGGCTGCGAGTGCGCACAAGTGACAGTTGTGCATGTGACGCCTTCGGTTACACCTGCAGCCAGGAGACATTGCAGCGACGATCGTATCGCCATGTCCCTGTGCTGCTCGCTTGTTAAGTTTATGTTTATCGATCCTGGCTGATGTGGAGGCATCCGCCAACTAAACGTTTGCATATCGATTTGAATTTTATGCGTATTGACAAAAACTCACAACAACAACAACAACAACAAGCAAAAGGGCACACGTGCTGCAGCATGCAAAGAAGAAGGGTTAGCTATTCACAGAGTCAACTGCAGGTTGCTTCCAGGTTGCTGCCTTGCTCAACGGCGCCTTGCGTGCCTGTCACTTAACGAGCGATACGAAAACTGCTGCCACTTACAGCCGGTTAAATATGAACAATATGCGGCATGCACCTCAATACACACATCTCTCCAGCCAGACTCCAACTTACGGCTAACGGGTCATACTTTTCATGTCAATACGCATAAATGCAACTTATGGCTGCTGCTCTCGACTGGTGTCTGCCAATGTGGAGCAGCTTCCAGCAAGCGCATGCCACTAACTGTTAAGATCCCACTACTATAACTGATCGCACCCCAAATGCTCTAAGCTCTCTCTTCAGCACACTTCACTTTAATCATGCTATGATCCCAAAACTTCTGCCACTATAATTGCTGCATAAAAGTAAGAGCCAAACTGGCAAAGTAGTTAATGGAAGAGAGCAAATGCGAGTGGGCCGAAGAGTTACGGCCGTAAGCATGGGATCTGTGGCCAAGGCAACGAATGACGTAGTTCAGTTATAGCACATAGAAGGGTTCCGCCTTGTAGGTTAATGGAGAAAACGATCTGAAGGCGATCTGAAGGTGGGAGGCAGCACGAGAAGTAGAAAGTCAGAGTGACGACAGATTCATAAAAACTGCATTAACTTTATCATAATTATTTTCATTATCATTAGTTATTATTATAATATATTATTATTATTACTAATATATATTATTGTTCATAGTAATATTATTCATTAACTATAGTAAAGAAAACTCAATAGGAAAATAAATATTTTTAGCACGTCAAATGTTTGGCTTTAATAATTAATAATTAATGTAGCTTTAGCTAAATCTATGCGGCAATATATTCTTTATTATTTACATGAAGAAACTAATGCAAAACCCCTTTTAAAATAGTAGACAATACCTGGGATTGATCACTCTATAATAAAAGATTTAAAGTATGCATTTTGTTTCGTAAGCTTAGACCAGAAATGTCCTCCGTAATAGAATAAATATTCAGTAATATTCCCTATTCATGCCAGGTTTTTTGAAAAGCAAGCGTACCCAAGTTGAGGCAGTTCAAAATGTGTAACGTGTAGGAGCTGTAGAGACGCCAATCAGGAATAAAAGTAGGCGCACGTCACCGACTCCCATTAGTACGTCGCTCTAGGCCGTGAAAGTGTTGTCCGGACTGCGATCACTTGCGGCAGCCGTAGCCCAGTTATTTTTTCCCTTAACGAAAATTGAAAAATTTGTATGTTACTTATTTTATTAGCATTTAGCACCGCCCCAAAGAGAACAGATCTCGCAAGGAATGCAAAGAGCGAAAGTCAATCGGAAGCAGGACAGCAACATGCGATGGCATTTGGCATGGGAATGGACGAGGTGAGGCGAGGCGACGGACTGGATTGCATGTGAGGTCTTTCATGCCTTCATGTGGGTGGCCTCGGCGCGTTCGTGTGCGGCATTTTGCCAATTGTCAAATTGAAAATTCATTAAAGGCAAATTAAATATGCAATTGGCCGATCCGAAGTCCAAGAGAAATCAGCTGCCGAGACAACATTGGAGCATTGTGCGCCCGGAATGCGCCAACTGTTGGCTGTTTGACTTGCTGCGCAAATATTGACGAGAGCTGAGAAAAAACGGATGCAAATATGATATGTACACTCCAGTCAGCGCACAAAAAAGAAAAAACAGAGTCAAGTGAAAATCAAAGCAAATAATAGCTCAAACAGCGGCAGGACTCGCCAGCCACATTTATATGAATATGCTGTGTGTGTACAGAGCGCATAAATTGCACAGTGTTTACACAAAATTGTTGTAAGGACATGAGGACATGGGTTAATTCCCATGAAAATTAAAACTAGATTATACACACGCTCAGTTGAGGGTCGGACCGGGTCGAGTCGACGTTGTCCTGGCCAGGTCAATGCAGCGCCCACTGTGTCATTGTTTGGGCACGCCTGCAGGCAGGCCAGGCAGCCAGCCTGTTGTTATAGATTGCATACTGATGGTTATCACAACCTGCCGGCATCTATCTATCTATATATAACATACACATATTTATCTGCATCTGATGGGATCAGAGTGAAGCGTAGCAATTTTTGTCGCACGGCTCGGCTTTGAAGCTGCTCTGGTCTGAGTTTGTGTTTTGTTTTGCCAATAGCAGAGGTCTGCAGTCGATAGCCATCTCTTTGGTGATCTTTGGCAACTGCTTGGCGCCAGGCCGATTCTAATCCTGCAACAACTTTGACTAATTCGCAGGCATTCATCATGTGGCCCAAGGCTATTTGTCTTTGCACATAGAAATTAATTTCACGCTGCAGTCAAATTGGAATAACGAAAACGAAATCGGAAGTAGGCATTATAATCGACAAATTGTGATTGGTATTTTGATAGGGTCGGATGTAGGACATGGCTCTGATGACGGCGATCCCACGTTACCCTTACCCAGATCAAAACGCAATGATCAATTCAAATTTGAAACACTGAGAACTACAACAATAAGCGAACAAAAGATGAAAACTACGCAATCACTTGAGAAAAATCAAAAAGGCCTCAAGGATGCGAGGACCTTTGGCTGCTGCTGCTGCTGCTGCTGCTGCTTCTGGCTGCTACACCTTCGCCAACGCTGAGCATAACAGGTGGCACGGAAGCCGCACAAAATAAAAATGATTAAAGCAATAAAAAAATCCGAAAAAATAACAACAGAAAAGGGGCCACGAAAGAAACAACAATTTTTAATAAGATTTTCTTCTGTGCAACAAGATTTTGAGTGCGCCTAGAATGATGCCAGGAACAACTTCCGATCCTTGGCGAGGCGGGGCGTTGCCGAGCGCAGCGGGTCAAGTGTGAGAACATTTTACGGAAGGATGTGGCTAGAGGATAAATTATGAAAAATGATCGCCTAAGCGAAGGGTTACAGTCGAAGGAACACCACGTGGTCAAGATTCACTTTCGTATAGAAGTGGTTGGGTGCTCACTGCCTACACGAATCCCAGCCTGCGTACTGCGGTGCTGCGGTTCGGCTCTGCTCACTGCAACGAAATTATCCAGGAATTTTATAGAGTAATTGAGCGTCTAATTTGCGGCGCAACAATTGCAGTTGCAGATGCCCCTCGTAGGTGCTTTCATGAATGGGCCAACGTTTTTCACAATGGCTCGCTTATTGGGCTTGAATGGAAAGTGTTTCTTCACTGGCAACTGAAGAGGCCGCCACTCGAGCGCAAAACAATTAACAAGTTTCAGTTTCGGTTCTCCACTGCTTCTAAGGTATAGTTCAGTGCTCAATTGTTCTATTGTTGCGCGTGAAGTACGCCAAGCGAATTCCTTTGAATTCAGCTAAGGTATGCAAAGGTATACTCACCCTATACATATATATATATATATATATATATATATATATATATATATATATATGGAATTGAAGTGACCTTAAGTAAGAAAACGAAAATTTATAATAATGAGCGAAGAGGCAGCCGCAAAGAGCGCGAATAAAATGTAAACTAAAGATACTATTTATATGTATTATTTCGGCTGAAAAGGAAGTACCAAATTACATTTAATTAGCTTTAGCTGTAGCTGTAGCTTATATATATATATATATATATATATATATATAAATATACAAGCTTCGTACGGTATGCCGTAGCAGGAGCACAAGAAGTCAGACGATTGCGATTACCACCGAAAACGAAAACATTGATCGACCGCTGATCAAAAAACAAAAAAAAAAGAACAAAAAGGCCCTGGGCCTGGACCTCGAGCTGAAGACGTGGCCTCTGTTGCCTGCTTTTGGCCATCGGTGAAATTCGCACGTTTAACCTTTAGGCAAACAGAAACAAAAATAATGCACAGCCAAGCGAACCTGTTGAACCCAAACGCAATTTTCCCATCACTTTGATTGCTGCCCAGGAATGACACGCGTGCGCCGCGCCGCAGCCTAGCTATTCTGATTGTGCCATTACGGGCGATCCAACGCGTGGTTGGATCTGCTGCCAATGGCTGGGCTTGGCCCAGCGGTCGGCCTGGCGATCAGACCGTTTCATTTTTAAAGACGACTCAAAATTAGGGTAACAATCGCAGTTAAGCAGCAAGCTGCAGCACTGGGAAATGCACGACTCTTTGGACACTACGTAAACGTGGCTGAGACAAGCTGCCAACTTGCCCTTAGGATCCTGCAATGTGGCATCAAGTGTAGATGAAGCTCAACACGATCTCGAAGCGGTTCTTATGGAATATGGAATCTTTGAAATAGTTACCTACATAATATGTATCTATCATCATTATCTACATCAAGCTATATACGTATATGATCAGATCTGATCTATGTGTTAGGTTTCTTAACACTTTTACAGGGTGTTTTGATGGCAACGGCGCAGCCGCTCAAACAACAAGCGAAAAAAAAAAATAAAATAAAATAAATAAAAAGCGAAACTTTCAAACGGTTTAAAGGATTTCGCTCAGCCCTGTTGGAGTCCGTTTAATATAATTCATATAATTTCCCATAGGTGCTGTTAGGTGCTGCATTGGCACCTGAAGGATCTGCAGCCCGAAACACTTAGCCAGAAGTCAAAAGTAGCAACACTTTCCAAAAGCGACACTTGAGCCTAGAAAGCAGTTTTGGGCCTGGTCAGAAGACAAAAGAAATTGAAATTGAAATCGAAATGAAACACAAACAAATCCCAAATGGTGTGAGAAATGACTTTCTCGGAAGTGAGAAACTGAGAGATTCAGTAGTTGTTTTAGATGCTCGCAGTAGTTCGGTTTGTCTGTCAACGGGCCTCGATGGTGAGTAATTGATATGTTTACCTTTTGCCCTTCGGCCAACGGTGTAAAAGTAAAATATAAATTGTAACTGATATCGATGCTGGGTCATTTCTCAACATCAGCTCATGAAATTGAAAAATTGCGCATCAGATAAGCCCAACATAGTTCCACAAGTCAATTTGATTGAGGCAGCCTTTTCCCTGTTTTAGTTTTTCATTTTTGTTTTCCATTTTCCGATCGTATGCAGACAGAAGCACACTTATGAGCCAGCCCCGTTGACAGTCTGCATGGAGGTCCTTGGGTGACAATTACATTATATGAAAATTGATATTTTCAACCGCAGATATCGCTTATATAGTTAATTTCAAATGAATCTGACCACACAGCAGGCCAGCAGCTCGGGTCAGCTGGCGGAACAGGTAATGGCACAAGTGTTTGGCAAGAGACCAGTGAAAATCTACACATTCCCATCCAATTACCAACATGATGAATTGATCTTATGTTTGCCTTTACTGCCTTTTTTGCCATGTTTGCCGGAAGAGCGGAAGAGGTGTGTGCTGCATAATTGTAACTGGAGCAAACGTGTGAAAAACTAACTAGTTAGCAATTAGGGCCATCCTCTGAGGCTTATGCGTGAGAACAAAAGATAAGGTTTGCGCTTTGGCAGTGTGCATTTTGAGGATCTGTATGAAAATCCATTTTATCTGTATTCTAAAATATTTATTATGTTATGTTGAACATGTTTCCCAATTGAACTCTTCGTTCCCTTAGTTCTTCTCCTTATGTTTTCCTTATTCATTCCTTATATTATCCTTATATTCATTCTCTCTCTCAATTCTTACTTGCATTCTCTCTCCTTCTCTCGCGACTCTTTTTCTATATAGTCTGCATTCTTCCTCTGTTCGTACCACCCTCTCTCTCTGAGCTCAGCTTCTCTTTGATTTGTATTTTAAATATTTGGCAAAGTTCATCAACTTCATGGCATGACTGAAACTTCAAGATTCATCACACATCAATCTCAATGTTATGAATATTTTATTCAGATTAAAACTTAAATTATTGATATGTATATTTTAATTATTTATATAAATCATATATATATCCAAACACACACTCTCTCTCTCTCTCTCTCTCTCTCTCTCTCACTCACTCTCTCTCTCTCTCTCTCTCTCTCACACCTTTAGACCTCAGCTTAGGTATCAGACTGCATATCCATTGAGATGCCTAACTAAACTAGACTTCATGCTGCTTAATATATTTACAAATCAGCATTAAGTTGAGCTCAACTTCTATTTCATATTATATATTATACGATATTATACAGATATGAATTAAATATTTAGCATAATTCCAAACGAATTAGAGGCTGCGAGACTAAGGCAATGGCAGGACAATGGCAAAGATGAAAAATGTGCTGGCTAATAAATATGCTCAATGGTTAAGTCTCTTGATAATCACTTTATTTCGATTTCCAGGAATTGGTCAAATTATTTGATAAATTGACCAAGAACTCGTGTCTGAATTAACGCCCCCACTTTGAAGCGACGAAGGTCGAAGGGGTTAATGTTAATTGCTATTGTTGTTGCTGCTGTTGTTGTTGGGCAGCGCAGTATAAATCGGTTCAGCCGGTCTTTCATCTATCACGTGTTTATAGAGTTATTCAGCCGTGAGTTGTACCACACACTTTAATTGCCCCAATTCAAATGGAAGAGTTGGCTTTGGCGTTGGCGTCGGCATCGGTCGGGCCACAATGCGATGCGATGCGATGCGATGCGATGCGTATGTTTGCACTGCATTCGTATGCATACAGGAGGCACAAATATAAACAATAATCAATCTCTTCAAGGGTTGAACAAACAAACACAAAGCCCCTGCGCAAGGACATGCTTATGAAAAATGCAACAGCGAGCAGTCGAAGGCGTTTTTAAATTGATTATTCCTTAGGGCACGGCCCAAAAAAGAAAACCAAAAAAGAATCCTGTGGAAAAATGCTCAATTTAATACATATTTATGAGGGAAATAGATCACAAATACAATAGACGTTAAAGCCAAAAAATATAAAAATAAAAAAACACAAAGCTGATCTAGGGGAATGTCCGACTAAAAGATACCTCGATTATTTGAAATAAAATTGATCTGCATGTGACATAGAAGGAATATAGAAGGAATTATAGATTCCAAGCTCTAATCGGCTATTCCGATCGAGAATATATATACTATGTGCGCCCCCGCGTCTGTTACATACACATGTATAATATACTGCTCAGACCTACCTGAGGCTCAGTTTATAACTGTTTAAAATGGCTCGCAGCTTTTTTTATGATCACAAGTTGATTTTTTAACGCTTCATTAACTTTTTGGCCACACGCGCTTCATACTTTTTTTTTTTTTGTTTATTTTTTGGGCCCCGTCTGACGCGCGTCTGCCAAGGAGCTCGCTTGACGTCGCGTTGCCTGCTTAATTACTTAAGCTGCCTACGTTACGGTCAAGTTTAAGCTGTATTTTGTGGACAGTGTTCGATCTAAACACCTCGTTCCGACTGCTTTCGCTCTAAAAACAAAAAAAGAAAGAGTACTAAAAAAATGAGGCGCTTTTTACTTCCGATTTCTTGTGTGGACATTTTGGAAATGCAGCGCCAGGCGACAACAACAGCTGCCACCAGCACACGCTTTTTTTCTGCTGATTTGGAATCCGTATAAGCAGCACAACAACACGTAGTGTGTGGCATTTTTTTATATTGACTACGTGTGTCCAACATAATATGCATTTTTGAGGCCATCAGTGAAACAGGTAGCATATGGCGTTCAAGTGCATAAAAATGTATGTACAAAAACATGTCACAACGGCATGTGGCAACTTTTACTATGCAGAATACTTTTAAAAAATTTAACTATTTCTAAGAATTTTGAATTACATTTTAATTAACGGCAAAAAATACTACACTTTTTGTGACTGGAGAGTATTAATCGATAGCTGACAATATCGCTATATATATCGTTCATCTCTTTTGTGGTCTACAACCAACCTCTGTTAAGTTCAAATCTGACGATTATTAACCGCTTAAACATGTCTTTTAATGTTAATTAGCAGTGTTTTCGCTATTACCGATGCCAACATTAATAAATATTTTCATGAAGAGTTGTGTGCGCTCGCATTAACCAAAATAGTCATAAATGAATTTGTCATGTTATTATTACTGTTATATTAAATAACATTTTCTTAAAACTACAAATTAGGTGTGTACACACTTTAATCAAACATTACTTTTTAATATTTCTTAATATTTAAAATTAAGAAAATTTGTATCTAAGGAGATATCCGTAATTTATTTAAATTAACACGATGCCAACAATTGGAGTTAAACGTGATCTGCTCTTCGATGCACTCGGCAAGAAATACAGTAAGTTAACCGGCAGCCGTCCACGTGGATTTTCCACTTTAATGTTTACCCCTTTCCTTAGCCGATGATGAGTTCCAAGAACTATGCTTTGCCTTCGGCCTGGAGCTAGATGAAGTGGTAAGCATTAGTGGTGTAATATGTAATAAGAAAGAAAATGTCATCATTCCAATTTCGCAGACAACAGAGAAGCAAATGCTCACTAAAGAGCAAGGCGACGTTGCGGCAGCTGCGGATGCCAGCGAGGAAATCATCTACAGGATTGATATACCGGCGAATCGCTATGATTTGCTTTGTATGGAAGGTTTAGTAACGGGTCTGCGAGTATTTCAGGGCAAGTGAGTAGAAAAACATCTATTTATTAATTCCATCCCCATTTATAGAAGCATTCTTACAGAGTGAAGCCACCCAAGTTCGAGTTTGTGGAGCCAGCGCAGCGCCAAGTGCTGAAAATTACGCCTTCGACAGCGCAAATTCGTCCTTTTGCTGTGGCCGCAGTGCTGCGAAATGTTACCTTTACGCAGGAATCGTACAATAGCTTTATCGACCTGCAAGATAAGCTGCATCAAAATATTTGCCGCAAACGTACTTTAGTGGCTATTGGCACTCACGATCTGGACACCATAAAAGGACCATTCAGTTATGAGGCCTTGGCGCCGGATCAAATTAAATTTGTCCCACTAAACCAAACGCAAGAGCTGAACGGCATTCAGCTTATGGACTTCTATGCCACGCATGCACAGCTTAAGCAATATTTGCCCATCATACGCGATTCGCCTGTCTATCCAGTTATTTATGACTCCAATCGCGTGGTGCTGTCGCTGCCGCCAATTATCAACGGAGATCACTCAAAAATTTCACTAAAAACCAAAAATGTGTTCATCGAATGTACTGCCACAGATTTGACCAAAGCCAAGGTGGTGCTGGACACTATTGTATGCCTCTTCTCCGAGCACTGTGCGAAAAAATTTACTGTCGAGCCATGTGATGTGATACAAACTGATGGTACCATCATTTCCTATCCGGAGCTGGCGGTGCGTGAAGAGCGTGTATCGGTGAAACGAGCCAATGCGTACATTGGCATCAACGAACCCGCCAACAAACTGGCGGACATGCTAACACGCATGTATCTGGAGGCCGAGGTTGATGCCAAGGATGGCGACTCACTAAACGTAAAGATTCCACCAACGCGTCATGATGTCATACATGCCTGCGACATCTACGAGGACATTGCCATCGCATTTGGCTACAACAACATCAAGAAATCATTGCCAGCCTTTATGCAAATCGCCAAACAGTTTCCGCTCAACAAATTGACCGAGCAGCTGCGCGAGCAAGTGGCACAGGCCGGCTTCACCGAGGCGCTCACATTTACGCTTTGCTCACGCGATGACATAGCGCTGAAGCTGAACAAAGACATCGAAGCTTTGCCTGCTGTCCATATAGGCAATCCCAAGACCTTAGAATTTCAAGTGGTGCGCACCACCCTGCTGCCGGGTCTGTTGAAAACTGTGGTGGCAAATCGTAAGATGCCGCTGCCATTGAAACTGTTTGAGATTAGCGACGTAGTGCTAACTGCCGAACATACAGAGGTTGGAGCACGCAACGAGCGACGTCTGTGTGCGGTTAACTGCAACAAGAGTGCTGGATTTGAGGTGGTTCATGGTCTGCTGGATCGTGTCATGCAGCTGCTCTCTGTGCCCTGGAAGACGGGCGGCGCCGATAGCGGCTACTATCTCCAGGCAACTGAAGGTGGGCTCAAGTGAAATTCAATAATCCAAAATTTGCTTAATTTATATTAATTTCTTTGTAACAGATCCCAGCTACTTTCCCGGGCGATGCGCGAATGTCATGTACAACGAGACCGTCATCGGGAAAATCGGAGTGTTGCATCCGAGCGTGCTTCAGGCTTTTGATTTAACTACACCCTGTTCAGCCGTTGAGTTCACAATTGAGCCCTTCGTATAGGCAGCTCAGCTCATTAGTAACAATATCTACACATAATTGTTAAAAACTTTCTAAGTCTTAATAAATGGTCACAAAACCCGGAACACAAAAAATCGTGATTTTTTTTTTTTTTTGTTTTTTATTTCTTTTTATTTATGCTGTTTAATGTTCTTATATTTTTCCTTCAATACAATAATAATTATAAGAGTAATAATAATCCGTATAGTATGTATGTATATCATATATGTATGTAGTTTTTTTTATTTTATTTTTAGTTTTTGTTTTCTGCATGCATACTTCATAATAATTCATATCTGAAGTACTTTGTGTGTATTTTTTAAATTTTAAATTAATAAATCTATGAATTTCATTTTTCATATCCTTTTTTCGCATGAAAAAAATCTATATTATTCTGCTTTGCTGTCGATAAAGAACCTAAATAACGGCTGTTTTCAGCTTCGCTTCTTTTTTCTTTTTAATTTTATGATCCGTCTGGTGTGTGTGTGTGGGTGTGTGTTTGTGTTCATATGTATGCACGTATGCATGTATTTATGGGTGCAGTGTGTGACATTTTTGTTTCTTTTTGATTTCAACGAATCTTTGCATTTTGCTTTCATTACATAATTTGCTTGCAGCTAAAACAATGTTTGAAACAAACAAACCAAACAGGCAAAAAAAAAGTTTATCGTTTATTTTCTTTCTTTATTCTATTAGATTAGTTATGCTTTAACGCTGTTAAAGATAATTTCATATCATCGTTTTTATCTTTTTTTGTTTTTGTATTTTTATGCAAGTGTATAGGCAATGTAGCGCAAACATATATACATACGCATACATATATGCGTATGAGGTTTGACTTTGAATATATATATATATATATGTGTATATATATATTTATATATATTATAGATATATTATTCATTTTACAAAGCAATTACTGCCACACGGCACCGTTTTGGCCAATCAGCGCTCGCGTTGCTTATCATCAGTTTTTTTTTTGTTTATCAAGTGTTTTTACATATTTGTGGCTTTTTGTTGTATAGTTTTGTATTTTTGTGGAAACACATTCTATGCTATGTATTGTTGTGCTCTATCTCTAAGACCTTCTACTCGTAGTGTGTCGGATAAGCATTTAAAAGTTACCAAGCCATTTATCTTTTACGTCGTTTATGCATTTGAAGAATATTTTGTTGTTTCTTCCTTTAAATGGAATATTAAATTGTATGCTTTTGTTTGTTTTACGTTAAGTTAATTAAGCAATTCGAATTTCTACTAGCTACATTTTTAGTATCCGTTCCCTATGTAAGCTGTCGAGAACTAAAGAACTGTCAAAATTTACAACTCAAAATTGAATACAAAAAACATATCTAAAATTCTTCTTTCTTTGTATAATTGGTGTGTAGGTTTGTGTGTGTGTTTGTTTATGTGTGTAATTTTCCCTTAGCTAAATACGTAAGTAAATTTTAATGTATTCGCTTGTTTTTCGTAGACTTTTCGCAAAATGTTTTTAACAGTTTAGTGTAGGTAGAGTGGTAAGTATCTGTTTATGCTTATGCATGTGTAATTAATAGCATTTAAGTAATTTCTTGTGTTTGTTGTTATTGTTGCTGCAAGCGTATCTTATTGCTTTTTGTATTGTTTTTGTTTTGTAGCGCAGTCTGCTGCTCTAGCTAGGACTTAACGAGTTCCACCTGTCGCCTTTATCAAGAATTGGACTTTTTAAGAAACAAGGAAAGTGCGCGCCTTAATTTACAGTTTAAATATTCCAGTTGAGGCTTTTTATTACATAATATTAAATACGCATATATATAGAAATATATATGTATATATATATATATGGAGTATATATAAATATAAAGTATACATATACATATATATTTATATATATGGGTTTGTTAGCGGAGATGTTGGAAAATATTTTCAGATATCTCAAATTTCATTTTAATTATAATTTTCATTTATAAGACTGAATTCTAGCTTAAAATTAAACGTGTGTTGGCATTATCTCTTCATCACATTTTTCTACCGGTTTATCGCTTGGTCACACGAAATCATAAGTTATACATTTGTTTACTTCAAGGAATATCAAATTATTCAAATTACATTTAAAATAAATAATATATAATTTTTCCATGATTTCTGTCATCGGGTATATATATATACGTGGATGTGTGTGTGTGTGTGCGCATGTGTATTCAAGTATATGTACGAGCATGTTCTATAGGTGTATGTGTTAGTGTGTGTATATATATATATGTGTGTGGGGGTAAGAAGGGCGGGAGAGGGGAATTACGGACTTGTTGTTGTTTTAATCATAAGTTTCTTCTGCCAAACTTCAAGTTACCTGTAAATTTAAATAGTTGCCCAAGGTAATGAAAACTTAAATTATGAATTAATAATGAACAAGGCCAAGCTTCTTTGTTTCACTGCATTTGAAAGTCAGTCGATTATTAATTTGTGTTCATGCGTAACTGTGTGTATAGCTGTGGATGGGGGTGTGTAGCTGTACGTGCGATTGTGTGTATTTGTATTTGTTACGAGTGTGAAGTGTTTGTGTGCGTGCAGTCGCACAGAAAATGTGAAAAAACAATCGAACAATCAATTGGCATTTCCATTTTCATAACGACTTTGCCCGGTATTGTATTGCTGTGCATTTCTTTCAATTATATTGGCTACGACTTTTCCTTGTTTTATATATAGTCTAATCCGATAAGATTAGATCAGATGCAATCCGATCTGACCTACTTCGTTGCAGCATGTCAGCCCGATGTCCATTCACTGGCGGCTGCATCCTTTTCGCTGGCGCATCAATTTGACCAGTTGGTGGTGTAGTTTGCCCAGGGCTGCTATATATACAAAAAGTAGAAAAGAATATAATTTTTGGGCTAAGTTCGAGTTGTTTATGTTGCACACTCACGTGTTTATCATGGTGTTCCCAGGCCTCCACCTTGTCGGGCAAATGTGACGACACATCGGCCCCACCGTGGCCGAAGTGTTGGAAGCCATACGACGGCGGCATTAGATTAACATGCTGCTGTTGCTGCTGTGGAGGCGGTGGTGGCGGCTGCTGTTGCATGTTGTGGTAATCCATTGAAACCTAAATTATAGAAAAAATTAACAATATGATATAAGCGATTCTTTATTATTCTATAATATCTTACATTCATCGGCTCGTGCTGCGGATAGGGCCCATTGTTGTATGGCCTGTATGGCTGCTTAAGCCAATTGGGTGGTTGCTGTGGTTGCTGCTGCTGTTGTAAGCCTGGCGGCTGTGGCTTGTGCTCATTCGCCCACGGCACATGCATATTTACCAGAGTTTCATCCATATTGAGCGCCGTTGCGGCTACATTGTAGTTGTTATACTTCCATGAGGCTGCAGCACGCTCGGTGCCAATGGGCCGCGGCATCTTGCGTATGTCATCATGGTTAGGTGACATGGCAGATGGTGAGCTCAAGCCCGCTAAGGCGCCGCCATTCTCCAAATGCAACATGTCGCGTCCACTATAAGCTGGATACTCCAATGCGCCACCATACCACCGCTGCTGCGCCACTGCAGCTGCACCGCTCACCGGTTGTTGACGTGCGCCAGGTGCTGGCCGACCCTGATTGCCAAACATATTAGACTGTTGCGCCGTCTGTACCTGATTGTTGCCACTAGGTTGTTGTTGCGGTGCCTTATTGCCTTGACCGAAAACAGCTGGTCGTGGATTTAGTCGCATTATACCATCAACCATATGATGAAGATTTGAGTGCTCCATGGGATAGTTATGCGGCTGCTGTGGTGTACCCACTTTGTCGTAAAGGCGCTGCAGACGCTGCAGGTCTTGAACCTGTCGATCAATCATAGCCGCATTGGCTATTGCAGCAGCCGCCGCTAGAGCAGGCACCGATCCAAAATTACTGCCCGCTGCGGGTTCTGGTGCAGTCATTTGCATAGGAATCGTAGGCCTCTGAATTGGCGCTGTCGGTGGCTTGATGACGCCCGGCGAGTGCGCGGATGCCGCATTATTGGTATCACCGTGACCCTGTGTGCCATTGACAGTTACCGCTCCAGGTGCGACGACACCATTGCCGGCTGCTGTAGCTTCGGCTACCAACGGTGACCTAGCTGCTGTCACACTGCCACCAGCACCACTGGTGATTATATTGAGCGCTTGCTGCACGGTCTGCTGGTTGCTCGGAGGCTGCTGTTGCATTGGTATCGCTGCATTGCCCACTGGCGGCGATGTTGAATGATTCGAAGAGGCTTTTGAGCTGCCCACAGGAGAACTGAGTATGTTGCGATTATAGCCCGGCGCCTTGGAAGCATCAGCCTGCGGCAACACATCGCCTGCCATGGCATTCAAACCACATCCAGTTGAATTGCTTGTACCAGTTCCACCACCACCTGCATTTCCATCAACCAGTTTACCCCACTGCGATTGCTGATAATCGCTAAACAGGGAATACGCACTGGACAGTTTGGCAGCCAGTTGGGCACTAAAACTATCAGCGTATAGTTCAATACGTTTGTCGTTCAATACGTTTGTATTAATAACTAAGTTCTGTTGATTGTTATTCGTTTGAGATTGCAACTGTGGTGACTGCTGCTGCTGCTGCTGCTGCTGCTGCTGCGGCTGTTGCTGTGGTTGCTGCAGTTGGGAAGATTGCTGCTGCTGCGGTGGCTGTTGCTGCTGTTGCTGTTGGTTTTGCTGTTGCTGCTGCTGCTGTATATTTTGCGGTACGGGCGAGGAAATGCGCTTGCTGGGTGGCGCAATGGGCGTTACCGAATGAGGCTTTGCATTGTTGTTGCTAGTATTATTGTTGTTATTGTTGATATTGTTATTGTTGTTGTTGCTGTTGTTGTTGCTGCTGCTGCTGCTGCTGCTGTTACTGGCTGCAGCGGCCGCTGCGGCAGCATTAACAGCGGCCACATCGGCCACGTTGAAGGTACCAATTGGTCCAGCCAATGTATTGTTGTTACTGTTGCCTAGCTGCGAAATAGATGCAGTTGCGCCGCCTACAGGCTTTCCACGCCCAAAAGGTGCAACAACCACACCACCACCACTGCTGCGTCCACTAGTGGTACCGACTCCGCCAAGTGTCTCCAGTTTCTTAGGTGATTGCGCTGCAGTTGGTGTCGCCTTCATGCCAAAGCTTTGTGTAGATTTTCCTTGTGCAGCAACGGAGCTCTTTTGATTAAAAAAGGTAGCTAACGACTTGAGCGTATTATTTTCCAATTTTGCTTTCGAGGATGGAGTAGAGACCCCACCGTTAGCGGTAGACGAAGATGATATACCCCCTCGCGCAGATTGCTGCTGTGTACTACTGTATGCCCGACTGCTTTGACCCCGCGATGAACTGGACGCTTTGCCGCCGGCGGCATTCGATTTGGAGGAACCACCGCGTCCACTTGGCGCCTTCGCACCACTAGGTGGAGCCTGTTGCAGTTGCTTGGCATTGTGGGCTTGGGCATTGCTATAAGCCACAGCCGGCGTAGAGCTGGCCGAGGAGCTCGACGATGTTGATGTTGTAGATGCAGCAGAGGAATAATTACCCATAGCCGTTGCGCTTGATACACTCACGGCAGCCGTGCGATTATCCCAAGTACCAACAGCCATTTGAGTGGAGCTATTGCTTGTTGCAGCCACCGGCGCAACCGTAGTACCAGCCTTGATACTGCTATTGATGCGTGGCAACATCTGCAATATGTCAACATCAGGATCCTTGATAAGCGATAGGATAAGCATATGCGCTTGCTTGGTGGCATCGGTTAAGCCCTTAATGGTAATGCTACGCTCCGATTGATTTTTGCCCTGTTTCTCAACCTCAATGTGAGCGCCTGTAGTGGCACGTATTGCGTTTATGTTGCTACCGGCGCGTCCAATGACACGTGATATGGCATTAACCGGCACCTGAACCTTCTTGCATGTCATCTCGGGCGCGGATGTAGCTAGCGAACTTGAACTCGAACTGCTTATCGAATGATGATGCTGTCCAACCCCGCCGCTATTCACGCTGGTCGCCGAATTATTAGGCGTCAAGTTGGCACTGCTAGCGCCGCCTGCTCCAATTGAGGGTATTCCGCCAGCTGAAGAACTAACAACTGCCGTTTGCTGTGTACTGCTCTTACGTACGACCTCTTTCCAACCGTCTATTTCGGTGCGCTTGGCCTGAGTAGAGCCAGTCATAGATATAGTCGACTTTCCGGTATCTTTCCGAATTGCAATATAGCTGACGGATTCATTGCTAACTGGCAGGAGCTTGCTGGCAGAGCCAGGTGTTTGTGGCTTTGGCGCTGGTATTGTCTCCTTGGGTGCCAGATTTTCCTTCTCACGTTTGTTGCTAATAGTTTCCTTAGTTGTTTTCTTACTGCTATTGGCAGTGGGGGTAGCTGTTGCAGATAAAGTTGCTGGTAAGGTTGCCACTAATGGTTCCTCCTTTTTGGCATCCGTCTGACGTTTTAACTGCTGACCAGCCATTTGCTGATTACTGCTGGACGGCATTTTAACGCTTTCAACAGTTGTTAACTTCTTAATAGCAACGCCATTCTTTCCAACGGGCGTGGATGCTACTGGCGCTACGGCTGGGGATGGGGCGGCTGATTCGCTGTTGAGTGGAACTTGTTGCTGCGATTTATTTTTTTGCTGCTGCTTTTTAGTCTTCTTCGCCGAGGTAGTGCCACTGCCATTGACATTGACATTGTCAGGCTGGCTAGACGAAACACGCGCGGCTTTGGTATCGCCACTGGAGCAAGATCCCTGATCGATGCCCGAATCGCCTTCTTCGCGTACAGGCGGTGCTTCCTCATCGTCATCCTCCTTGTCAGTGTCGTCATCCTTTTCATTGTCGCTGGCATCGTCGTCGTCGCCTTGCTGATCATCGTCTCCACCGTTGGGTCCATTGCTGACCTGTTGCTGGCGTCTTTTCTCCTCTTTCTTTTCCATTTTCTTCTTCTTTTTGCGCTCACGACGACGTGCAGCGGCCGCTTTGCGACTCTCCTCGCGTGTACGCTCCAAATCCAGCTCTTCTAGCAATATGGAGGCATTTTTGTTGGCTTTGACCGCCTGCGCTTCTTTAGCGGAGCGCAGAATTTTCATACAATCGTAGCACTTCTCAATTAGCTCCTTATCACTAATAGTGCCAATGAAGCGAATCATTTCTTGGTCCGAGGGAAACTGGGACACATACTGTACCATCCATTTCACAATTTTGGTGTGGCCCTTACGATAAGCGGCCATCAGGCAGGAGACGCGTCGATTATCCTGTGAATCAATGTCTGCGTTGTGATTGTACAGCAGTTCCACTACACTCAGGTGACCACCGTGTGCTGCCAACCACAGAGGTGAGTTACCCTTTTTATTCTTCACCTCCACACTGGCACCACGTGACAATAACAGTTCTACGAACTTTTGGTGTCCCTTGTCAGCGGCAATAGTGAGTGCCGTATCCCTAGACGTAGGTACAGGCGCTGCGTTTACATCAGCTCCTTTATCAAGAAGTACCCGTCCCACTTCGATATAGCCGCCAGATGCGGCCTCCATTAGAGGCGTGAGACCGGTTTTAGCGCGATGCTCAACATTTGCCCGGCGATCGAGCAGTAAGCTAACCACCTCATGACGCCCTTGAAAGCAGGCAAGCGTGAGTGCTGTATTGCGATTTGTCTCAATCTGTGCGTTTATATCAGATCCCTGATCCAGAAGCAGTTTAACCGCTGCCGTATGTCCATTCATGGCAGCCAACATTAGCGGCGAGATGCCCAGTTTACTGCCAGTACGAGAATTAATCTCGGCTCCATGGTTCAGCAGCAGCTTGATGATATTCACATATCCTCCGCTGGCGGCCAAACTTAGTGGCGTATAGTCCGATACATTGCGATGCTCTTTGTTTGAGCCAACACCTAACAGCAACTCGACAACCTCATAGCGCCCACCAGAGCAGGCCAATGATAACGGCGTGTCCTTGGTGCGTTCGGATTGCGCCTCCAACTCTGCATTATTCTTGAGCAGACTTTCGACGACCTTCTCGTGGCCGGCGGTGGCGGCCAATATCAAAGGCGTAAAGCCCTTTTTATCGCGATGCTCGATATTCGCACCCCGGCTGATAAGTAGCTCACACAACTCTTCGTGTCCACCAGCACAGGCCAGTGTTAAAGCCGTATCATGATTCGACTCCGTTTCTGAGTCAATCTCAATAGTTTTATCTACGGCTGCAGCGGCAGCAACAGCCAGTTGATTCTGTAGCTGTGCCTGCTGCTGTGCTGCTGCCGCAGCTGCTGCTGCTGCCGCTGCCGTTGCTGTTGTCACCGGCTGCTGGTGTTGATTGGTGTTGACTGTTTGATCAATAGAATATTATATAATTAGCAGTGTATTTTGTCTGTGAATAAGCCACCTCATTCGATATTTACCTTGACTACCAGCTGGTGTTTGACGAAAACCAGAACAGCGTCGATCCTTTCGAGATTGCTTGTCAATTGCCTTCTTAGCAATACCACCGGGCATACTTTTGGGTGCACCAGTAGTTGTTCCCACTGCTGGCGTGTTGGGCGTGGACATTGGCCAAATTGATAGCTCATTTTGCTGCTGCTGTTGTTGTGGGGTCTGTTGCTGCTGTTGTTGTTGCTGTTGTTGCAGTGCAAACTGAGTGAATTGCTGGGGCACTACAACCGAACCTGCATGCGTTTGTGTGGACACCTGAAAAAGTATAAATGGCTTAGGATTGATCGAACACTTTTTGGTGTTGAGGGTACAAACCTGATGCTGCACGCATGTCGGCGCCTGCATATGAGGCGGAGGATGCAGCAATAGTTGCTCCTGCAAATTGAAGTGTTTTTGTTTTAGGCTCTGTGGTATGGGCATCGCCTGGACTCCAACAACGGAACCGACGGCTGATGATTGCTGTCGCTGCTGCAGCAGCAACTCTTGTGCCACCTGCTCCAATTCGTTTTGTGTCGGTGGTCGCTGCTGTTGCTGCTGAAGTAGTCGCTCAGCGCGTTGCTGGAACATATGCTGCTGCTGTTGTTCGCAGTGCAGTAGCTGTTGTTGATGTAGCTGAAGATCTGTTGATTGATCAGTCAGTTGCTGCTGCTGTTGCTGTTGCTGCGGTTGTTGTGTCATGGCCGGTGGCAGCTGGAACAAAAACTGCACTGGTGGCGCATTTTTGTCCCCGCTCTCCACATTGTACACAAAATTGGCAGCGGGCTGCTGGGCTTGCTGTGTTTGCCCGGTTGCCGCGGCAACGGCTTTAATAATGCGTGCATTCGAGTGTTGCTGCTGCTGCAAATGGTGCAGTTGTTGCAACTGCTGCTTTAACTCTGGATCACCTTCCAATGTGACATGCTGCTGTTGATGCTGCAGCTGAAACTCGGCGTTGTTGGGCAGTGTTGTATGAATTTGCTGCTGTTGCGGTTGTGTGGTAACACCAGCTGCGGCGTTGTCTGCAGAGAATGGTAATAACGCAACTGATGTCTGCTGGTGCTGTCCAGAATAGAAAATAATCTGTATTAATCACATCAATAATTCATCAAAACTTCAATCTTACCTGCATATTCTGCAGATCCTCGGAGTCAAGCAAACGTTGTTGCTGTATGGGATAATCCAATAGAACGAGATTCGCCTGACGCTGCTGTTGCGCATCCGTTGACGCATCACCGGCACTTAATAATGCCTGTGAGTGCTGTGCAGCTGCTGCTGCCAATAGCTGCTCCTGTCCACTCCATTTGCCAGACGACTGTGACCAATGGCCGGTGAATCTGCCCTTGCACATCTGATTAAGGCTTAACTCTGCGAGTTCTGGACATTGCAGATTGCTGGCCAGTTCCTATTGAAAGAATCAAAATAAAAAATTCAATAAAACATTTAGCAACAAATTTTCATACACTTAATATGATATGTGAAACTACCAGGAATATGTCCTCCATTTCACCAGTCATATCATGTTGTCCGCCATCAGCTCCATCGCTGGCAAAATGTTCGAGGCCAGCATACAGCTCCCCAGATGCAGTCGTGGGTGTTCCTTCATCTGTTGTCATAAATGTAAATGTAGCTTATTATAAAATAATGGTAATTTAATTAATTTTCTAGAAATTACCACACTGCTCCGAGTCTTGTTGTTGTTGGCTGTGAGCCTTGGCATGTACTGCTGCTGCCAATTGTTGTTGGAGTAGACTGTTCAAAGCAGCATTGTTGGCGGCTGCCGCCTTAATGGGAAGCATATGTATTAGTTCAGAATTAGACAGATCTTGACGAAAATCACATAATGATTGAGACAACACATCGGGCTTGGTCAATATTAAATTCTCCAGTCTTGTTGACATTTTGCGTAACTTTGGCCGCAGAGCTGCGCCACTTTTCGAGTTGGTGTCACTCTGATCGCCGACGGCGACATTAACATCTAAGAAGAACTCATCCTCGTCTTCATCGTCGTCATCGCCACCATCGTCATCATCGTTACCATCATCTTCGTCTATGTAGTCCACTTCCGCATCCGCATCATCATCATCGAAGTTAAGCTTATCAATTTCACCGCTTTGGGTATCCGGATCTTCTTCATCATCATCTTCATCATCCACTACCTCCTCCTCTATTATAGTGTCCGTCAGCTCAATAGGTTCCGGTGGCAAGGTATTTTCTTCACCGTCAGCCTCGCCTTCATCACTCTCAATATCCGTGACAATTTCATCGATCTCCTTATTTGCTGCTGTTACTTGGGCTGCCATAGCTGCTGCGGAACAGAGTGTAGCCAGATTCTTCATTTCAGCCCGGTTCTCAACACGCTCCATACTTGGCGACATGATCGTCTCCTCCATTTCTGGAGGCGTTTCAGTGGGTGACTTGGGTTGCTCGCCAAAAAAATTGCGCATCTGCCAACCCTCCTTGAAGAACTTTAGTTGCGTAGCATTGGCTAGCTTGTCATTGAAGCGGGCCAGTGAATGACCGCTCCTTGAATCATTAACCGCTGTTTCGAGCAGGCCACGAAAGTCTTCCATAGCAGCCTTATGATGCAGTACCTCACTGCCAACTCCTTCCATGGGCGGTTGCTGTTCGACAAAACTGTTGCCGCTGCATCCTGTTGGAGAAGCCATTGGAGAAGCCGGAGAATTTGAGTAGTCTACAAGCGACGCGGCGCGCTGCTGATGATGGTGCAACTGCAGATGTTGTTGCAATTGTAACTGCGTTTGCTGCATTTGTTGTTTTAATTGAAGCTCCTGTTGCTGTTGCAATTGCTGTTCAAAAAATTCATAAGGTAAGTGTTATTAATTCCTAAGCAACATGTAATTTCTATGAAAACAAAAAATAAACTAAAAATCAATTTTTCAAAAACGAGCAATTTCAAAAACACGCACACGATAGTCATACGTCTTTAAAGGATAATTGTGTTAGCAATGATTTAATCTAATTATATATATATATAAAGTTAAGGATTTTATATTCAAATAGTTACCAAATTGTTAAAGAAGGAGACCATTTGATTTTGTCCCGACTGTCCAGTTGCTGTTGTCGCCGCGGAAGCCCGAGCTGCTAGTGTGCCCGCCTGCTTGCGATTGTTCTTGTTGCTGGCTTTGACCTTGGGTCGATCGCTAATTGCAGTGCTCTGCAGCACCTCTGAGGAGTGGGTAATGGCACCAGAGCCACTAGTATTAAGCTGCACACGTAAACATTACATAAATTAATCATTAACAAAATTATTGATCATATTACGATCTTACCGCTGGAATCTGTGAGCCGTTTTCGTTCGCAGTTAGTGGACTTTGATTGCTATCATTGACTGCGACAACTAAAATCATTGAAAAGTCTTATTGAAGCATATGACATTTGTGATGAATGACCGTTTGCATTTACCTTTTTGAGTTGTTTCCAAAGTCGTATCGCTGCCATCGTTACCCTCGCATGGCGGATCAAAGCCTCGCCGCCTCTGCAAACGCGGTTCATCTCCAGAGCAGGTAAATTGCTGCTGTTGTAACTGCTGCTGCTTCTCGTCCTCGCCTAGCGGTTGGGAGCGTATTTGCTGCGAAATCTGTTCTAACGGCAAATCGATTGCTTCCAATGTCAAGTCAATAGCCTTTAGTTCGCATAAAAGTTGCTGGCGATTCTTGCGCGACCCTAGACCCTTGAGCTTTGGTTGCTGTTGTTGTTGCTGCTGTTGTAGTACAGGTTGTTGGCAAACAGTGTGCAACATAACAGGTGGCGCTGGTGGAGCCTTTTGTGGAGGTGTTAGAGAATTTATGTGGTCCATGTCATAGTGCTTACAGGGCACCAGCTGGGCTCCAGTTGGCGGCAGTGTCGTTTGCTGCTGTTGCTCAAATCCTGGCTGCAGGTGAAACAGACGTGATTTGGCAATAAGGCCTTCCTGCTGTTGTGCGCTCAGCGTGGTCAAGTCAATGCCACCGCCACCGACACCACCCATTGTAGAGACGTACTCCTCAGTGGCAGTCGCGTCAGTAATGCTGGCAGCAGAAGCCGCCGTTAGCTGAAGCTCACCAGCATCCAGAAAATCACCTGTACCAAGCGCCACAATATTGCTAGGTCCGTTACCGCTGAATTGCTGCTGGTATAACAGTTGCTGATTGGTGGCGCGTGCTGCCTCAGTCACCTCGTGCAGTCCGGGAGGAGCATTCAACTGTTGCATCTGTAGCTGGTGCTGTATCTGCTGCTGCAATATCTTTTGTTGACGTATTTGATTAACTGTTTGAGCACTTGTGCCAGGAGACAGTTCTGTGGGTGAAATGTGGGGATAGCGAAAGAGTAACTCCACAACACGTGTGTGACCACCCTTAGAGGCCTCGATCAACATAGTGCTGTTATCCTTGAGCTTGTGAAAGGGATCGGCATTGTTCTTGAGCAACAATTCAACCACTGATTGATGCCCACCGGCACATGCCAACGAGAGTGGAGTGTGATCATTGCTGGTCGTCTGCTTGTTAACATTAGCGCCTTTTTGAATGAGAAATTTTACAGTGCACAAATGACCGGCACGACAAGCTTTCATCAACGGTGTACGTCCACCTTCGGATTCGTGTTCCAATTCTGCGCCATATGACAAGAGCACACCGGCAGCATCTGTATGCCCGTTCTCGCAGGCATGCGTTAGTGCTGTATCTCCGGTTTGCGTTTCCGCATGAACATTTGCCTTGTTCTGCAACAGAAAGCGCACCAGATCAGTATGACCTTCCTGCGAAGCTTCCATGAGCGGCGTGGATGCGCCTAGCTCTAAATTGGCACCTCCATTTATCAGGAAAGCGGCCACTTCACTAAAGCCGCCACAACAGGCAAGTGTAAGGGCAGTTTCCTGAGTTTCCTCAGTGGTGGCATTAATGTTGGCTCCTTTTGTTAGCAGCAGAGCCACCATTTCCTCATGGCCTTCCCGTGCCGCTTCCATTAGAGGAGTGTAGCCTTCATCGTTGACCTCCTCAATGTTGGCACCACGCTCAATTAACAGTGTTGCAAGCTCTACATGACCACCACAGGCAGCCAGCGTAAGCGGCGACTCAAATGAATCAGTTGGCATGTTAACTTGCGCCCCAGAATCCAACAGTAAACGCGCCACCTCCACGTGCCCATCCATTGAAGCCTCCATTAGTGCCGTGTGCATTTCATCAGTTTTATGCTCCTGATCAGCGCCAGCTTGTAACAGAAAACGCACCATATCCAGATGACCCTTATAGCACGCTAATGTGAGCGCACTTTCCTTAAATTCATTCGAGTGGGTGTTAATGCCGGCTCCATGCTCAAGCAGCACCTGCAATACAATTATTAAACATTAAATAAGTGTTTTATAAGTAAACCGCATTTCTTTAATTAGTTCTAATCGATGCATCAGATAAGATCAAACTAAATCATGGATTCTGCGTTTCACAATTTCAAAATCAGTAACTCGATTCTCGAAACTGGACACAAAAAAATCAAATCTCGGATTATAATCAGTTGCATGTCTAAAATCCGTAATTCAAAGCTAAATATCCATTATTCTATCAAAATGATTACCTTGGCAACTTCCACGTGGCCAGCGGAGGCAGCCTCCATTAACGGTGTATGTCCATTTTCGTTTTGTTCTTCAACGTTAGCGCCATGTTTGAGCAAAACTTTCACAACGTCAACCTGGCCACCGGCGCAAGCAAACATTAGTGGTGTATTGCCAGTTGCGCAATGTGCATTTACATCGGCATTGTGGCTAAGCAGCAGTTTGACAATGTCCAAGTGTCCGGCAGAAGCAGCTTCCATTAGTGGTGTCGAGTCTTTTTGTCCCTTGTCCTCGACTTGAGCTGCTGACATAGCCAGCAAAACCTATTTTAGAGAAGATTATCAACTGTTTAGTTATATTGGCAACTGTTAAATGCTTAAAACAGCATTCAATAAAATCCTTAAAGCGCTTTCTTTTCTGCTAATAAAATAATTTGAGTGAGTCTTTCTTTTTTTTGCTGGTGCTGCTGCTTTTAACACTTTATCGAAATATCGATAGTTTGATGATGACATAGAATAGCAAATCTGTGGAATGTGAAGTTGCCACTCACACAATAGAAATGATATTGCCACACAGGGTGGTCAGGACAATTTTTAACTAATCTGGAAATAGTTCTTAATTGAATTCAATAACATTTCGAATTTAAGGTACTTTTAAATAATAGTTATTAAGCATTTGCAGATCATCTGCTAATATATCATCATTGTCTATATTTTTATTTATTACTTTTTTTGTCGTATTTATAAATCTGGCCGTAAATTGCATAGAACTACGAAGATAATAAAAAATGGATACTAGATTTTGGTTTAATTTGTGATTTTGACTATTGCTTTGTCATCTTTAGCATATTGGTTTTCTTTTCACTTTGCCTCATACATACCTGTGCTAACTCATAGTACCCTGCCGAACAAGCCATCGACAATAACGACTCGCCTTCATCCGTGGACGCAGCTGCTTCGTTTAAGTTGCCTTTGCAAAGCAAACGTTTCACAGTGTTGACATCATTGTCCGCGCAGGCGTTGACAAGGCTGCGCGAGAAACCACTACTGTAAATTTTAGTTGAAAGTTACCAACAAATTTAGAAAATTTATTCGAGCACCCGAGTGGGATGACTGCTAAACTATGGTTTACTGAGGCTACTCACTTTTTGTCGCGTGGACTGTTGGCACAACGCATTTTTGTTAGCGCCTGCTTGGTTTCATCGATCGCGTGCGTGGCGTGTCGGAGAACAGGAGCCTTGTCGTTAGCGGCTGCCTCCAGTAGGGCCGTGAGATTACTCGAACGCTTGTTATTTGGCTCAAGCAAAAAGTTCTTTACCTCTGGCGCATCCTCCTCATCATCCTCTTCGTCGATGTCCTCATCATCGGCATCGTTATCTTGCAGTACGTCTAGTATTTGGAAGAAGATTTTTAAATATTAGATTTTTAAATATTTGGAAGAAGACTTTTAAATATTAAAAGGACTTGAAATGTGTATGAAATCTTTTGATATGCTTACCAATCTCTTCATCTTCTTCCTCGTCATCACCTTCAGACTCATCAGAATCTTCAGATTCCTCTTCCGTCTCATCATCATCTTCTCGCGCTTCGCCCTCCTCATGTGGACAGCTATCGTGATCAGATTCGGCTATATCATCCTGAAAAAATAAGCGTAACAGTTGTATTAGATCTAAAGACTAAAATTGTTCCATTTGGGTTAAATATATATAAGTATAAATAAATATATATATTCGTGCTCGTCAGTTAAAAGGTGAATAAAGAAGGTTGCTGGAAATTATAGTAATAAAGCCAGAACTAATCAGTGGAGCACTTAAAGAGCACATTCTTGTTGTCTAAGGCCAGCAATATGATGCTTTGTGTGTTGTTACAGAATCGAAGTGATGGTAGTAGTATTATTATTGTTGTATTATTATCACTATTATTATTATTATTATTATTATTATTATTATTATTATTATTATTAGCATTAACCCATTTGCTGCTGTTGGGTTTCATGACTTTGCAGTTAGCCTTAAAGCCAAAAATAAAAATGTAGATCGTAAATTGTAATTCGTGTTGGCAAAACTTCCATACATTTTTCTTTAAATCTATAAATCAATTGGTTAAGATTTTTTTGTTTGTTTAGTTTGGGGTAAGTATGGCTAGTTATTGAAATTTTTAATTATCGGTCAATATATTGCTAACTAATTTTGAAACGCTTCGATAATGGTTGTTTTTAGAGGCACTTATAACGCGAAACTTACCAGGAGATCTGGCCTTAAACACAAGAATGCCAATAGGATCTACAAATAAAGAGAAACGTAAGAGACGTACATAAATAATAAAAATAACTGAAGCGAATGAAAATGCATGTATGTTGTTAATTAAAAACCAATTCAATATTGTATTGACGCTTGGCGGTTTGATATTTGCTTGGCTTGAAACGCAACGAAACACAAATATTGATATTACTTGAACAAAGGACTGGAACACAAAGTCCATGGTGGATAACGCACGCCGTACCAAATCTTTAACTGAGGCACGACCGATTATATTATCAAAAAATGACGATTGAACCATTCTTGGGTGGTATGAGTAGTTGTCAGTTATTAAATGCAATTAGAACAAGAATTTTTTGAGTTTTTTTAATTGTCAAAGATCTGGAAATATGATTATATTTACACGGCGTACTATTAGATTCAATTTAAATTTACTCTAGCACACACACACTCAAGTTTTGTTCAAATCAGTTTCGATTTCATTTTCTTTTCTTTTTCATTTTTGTTTTGTAAACATACGTACATATCACTTTGAAAATATGCGGCACATCTTACTGGCAGAGTTGGCAGAGTTGCCAGATATCAATAAAAGTGGCAGCGCAAATATAAAGACAAGCAGAAGGCAAAACCATCAAATTATTGTTGCCCGTGTGCTTTTTGCTTTCATTTATTATCATTTCCATTTTGCTTCGCTTTAACGCCAACACTCATGCTGAATTTTACGCTTGTGTTGGTCGGTATGTGAGTGTATGTGTGCGCTGGCCAGCCTGCTGGTTTTTTATTACAAATTTGCAAGTCAAAGGGGAGAGGCAAAGAAACGATTTCTTCGGAATTCAAAAATCGCATGAGTCATTTCCATTCAGTGCACTGTGATAGTATATGCATATGCATATACATACATATATATATAAATATAAATATGTGAAGAGTGTACTTGACATGCTCAACTATTTATTGCACGTCTAAAATTTAAGCGAAAATCGTTCTTAATCATGAATCGTACCTATGTACATATGTGCGTAAGTATGCTCAGTATTGGTCGTAACCTTTAATAAGTGAAAATGACGATACATAGGCTTATTACACACGAATTATTACATACAAATAAATATACAGACATCTAGAGAAAATTTAAAGAACACAACTTAAACGAGTTCAATCGCCGTCTCCGCCACGACATGCTTTTTTGTTAATCGTGGGGTTTTCTCTGCTCGTTCGGGCGTTGGAGTGCGTAAGTGTGTTTGTTAGTATGTATACTGTGTGAAGCGTCTGTAGGTGCGTGTTTTTTGTTACGGAAATTAAAATATTTATATATTTTGCAAGTTAAACCTATAAATTTCATATTGACCTTCAAACAAAATATTTTATATATAGTATTAATTGGGCATTGCTCTCCGTACGTTATTTATTTTTATTATTATGCTTTGTATTGCTTATTTTGCTTTGCAGTTTTGCACAATTGCTCTTCACACACGATTTCACTCGACAACAACAACACCCGTCTTTTGGGGTTGCCAGACTATTTAAACGCTGGCGTAAAATTAACCTGCAAACAACAACGCGGTATTCGAAACGAAAATACACTAGTCCATCCAACAATAACGTTGAATTGAAATTTAATCATTAATAAACTGTGAAGAGGCAACGAAACATACTTGAAGGGTCAATATTATAATTAATTGGGCAAATTATATACGTTGCTCGAATGTTTTTTAAAACCAAAAGAATTGGCTAATGACCTTTCGGGCCAAGTAGGCAACAATTTCATATACATATACACTCTGTGCTATATCCACAAAAGGCCAGACAAAGAAATACACACACACACTCAAATACTAACTAACAGCAGCAGCTGCACAGCTGATTTTTGTATGTATATATTCACAAATATACGAAGAAACGAATGTAATTCACAAAGCATCGCACAGTGAAGAAAAGTCTAAAAACGAGTCATACTAAATTGTTACTTGAAACTGGTTTTCAGCATTAGCTCAAGTTAGAAAGAGACGAAAAGCGAGAGGCAGAGAGATCGGAAGGTGGATTTATTAATTTAATACGAAAAGTTTAGAAGCTTTATAGCTTTCTATACATACACAACAAAAAATAGGATGGGATAAATTCTAAAGAAATCGTTTAAGCCTGTATTGTGGCATTCTGTTAATATACGAGAGACGTCTATAACGGCATCTACTTTACCTGATAACAGTGGATCGATATAAGAAGAAAAACAAATATACTAACTATTGTCAAATATTTTCAGTTAATATTTAGCACATTAAATTATCCTAAATATAAATGGCAATATTTAAAAGGTTATCTATATGTATATATATTAATCTATAAATTAGAATCCAGCACGAATTCTTAAATTTGTTCTTATCACAAATGAATCCCATGAACTATAAAATCATGACGTGTTATATTACCCTAATCAAGAAATTACTCTACTACATTAAAAAAGCATTGGTTTCAAAGGAAATTTTGGTACCAAGCTACATTAGATATATCAATGGCACAACGATAATTATGTTGAGTCTGGGGCAATAACCGAATATATGTAGTTCCGCTATAAGTCACTTGAGTTATGGCATTTTTTAGCTCATACATCTGGTTTTTACATTCTTGCGCAAGGTGAATAATACCAAGATGAATAATAACAGAAGAAATATATCGAATTTGATCTTACTACAAACTAAACACTCATCTTAAAAAACGAACAAAAATAAACACGAATTAAGTAATAAATAATTGAGTCTAGTTATAAGCTCACACACTCACCTCTGAGACAGACTCCTCCTCAGATTCCGATAAATCTGTGGTGACGGGCTGCGGGTAGAACTCGGTATCCGTATCTGTATCCGTTGTTATGATATTCTGCAATGCCGATGAAAATGCATTCACAATGCCCACCGACGATGACAGTGGCGAGGAATTGGATGATGTGGACGATGAAGCAGCTGTTCGATTTGCAGCGGCCGCTGCTGCGGCGGCAGCAGCTGCGGCATTCGATATGGCACCCACATCCTTCAGCTTTTTGAGCACAGCCACAGCTGTGGCCGTCGAGCTGCTCGTTTGCGGTGTCAGACCAAGTCCAACAGCAGCGCCAGCGTTGCTATCGGCAGCAGCGGCAGCGACACCCCTTAGCAAAGTTGTTGCTGCGAATTTCAAATGCGCGGAGTCCTTGTTGCTAGCGTGTGCGGCGGTTGAACCAATTGCTGCAGTTGAAGACGTCGCATTTTGCTGCTGCTGCTGCATGACTACCTGCCGCTTAATCGCAGCATATGCAGCTCGCGTCTTCTTGGAGCTGCTGGGCGTTGGCGCGGGAGCGGGTGCTGGAGCGGGCGCAGAGGCGATGGCCGCTCGAAATTTGGCAGCGACAGCGGCTGCTATGGGTGCATTTATTGTTGCCGTTTCACTTGTTGTAGTTGTGGTTGCAGTTGTTGTTGATGTGGCGGGCATGGGCGTGGCTGTGGGCGTGGCTGTAGTTGTGGTGCCAGCTGTAACGAATGCAGCCGCAGCCGCATCGCTTTGCGCGTTTGTTTTGCTGGCAGCCGTTTTTGACATTTTGCTGGTGTTATTGTTGTTAGTATTGGCAGTGGCTAGTGCGCTGTTGTTGCTATTCACTTTTAACCTGACACTTGGGCTGTTATTGTTGCTGCTCTGCAATTGAGTCAGCTCAGCTGCAGTCGCTGCAGTTGGAGTTGTCGTCAGATCCTTGGCAACAACAGTCGCCGTCTCATGCTTGACAGCCTTCTTCTTACTATTGCTGCTGTTGTTATTGTTAGCGTTGGTGTTCGTGTTCTTTATGTTGTTTGCGATGAGCGCAGCCGGTATGGAGTGTCTGGCGGCTGCTATCCGCGGACCGGTATAATTCACCTGCCTTACGTTGTTGTTATTGCTGTTATTCTTTGCTACTGCAATTCGTTGTGCAGATGCGGCGCTGTTAGCTTTAACTTGTGTTGTTATAGTTGTTGCTGATTTGGCTGCCGCTGCTACTGCTGCTGATGTTGTTGTTGTTGGTTTTGCAGTTGTCTTTGCTTTGTTTTTGTTTAAATACGCAGGACGCACGTTATTTAAATTCAAGTTCAAGTCATCGCCATCATGATTTTTCGCATCATTATTCATTTTAGTCTCGATTGGGCTCCCTTTAAAATCAATTCACGCGTGCTTGCCGTGTACAAATACGAATTTTTTAACAAAATATTAAATAATAAATTACTTCAAAGAATTTGACATTTTCGGGTTTTTTCATTTTTTTTTTTACTTTTTGCCATCGACAAAAACGCCAAACACAATTTCATGTAATTTTACATATTCTGATACAAAGCGTGCTGCGTTTTTATCGATTTTGTTAAGGAATTGAGCTAGATTATATATATATTTGTGCATATATAAAGACACACACAAACACATTCACACACACACATGAACATGCATAGGGAGATCGCGACTGTGTGGCAACGCTGCACATTCTTTCACTTCTTCAGCATTGCACACTCATTCGTTAGCGGTTGTATATATGTAGTATATACTCATACATATATACATGCATATACTCATTTAATTTTCCGTTTGCTTAATTCACGTTTTCGTGGTAACATATTAAAAAAAGGAAAAGAAATGCACAGGTAATCAAGGTAAAACACTAATTATTTAAATATGCTATACGCTATTTAATTTTATCCTTCTGGCTGACCAATCGATGCGCAATTGTTTAGTTAGATGCTGACATAGCGTGGTTTTATGCTTTATATAATCGCAACATATACACAAAATTAATGTAAAGTTCTTGCTGTATTTTAAACGATTTGCAATTTATGTATATATTAAATTGCAGTATTTTATTTATAAAACTTTTTCGAGCATTTTCGACTTCGCCCCAAATGAGCGCAGGCAAAAAATCACTTTACACATTTTACAGCGAACGAAACCGAGCGAACGTCGCGCCAAAGCGAGATAACAATGGCTAACCAGCCAGTCAGTGGCACAACATAGTATGTGCACAAGCGAGAGGACGCTACTGAGCTGAGCGAAACCACAATCACACGCACGCCAAAGTCGAATAGCAGGCGGACGACGACGAAGGCAAATTAAGCAACTAAGGGAAAATTTTTCTTCGCTGCTATTCCGATGCAATTTTCACCAATTTAACGCAGCGGTTAAACATGAAAACATGCACAGCGTATGGGACACATCTTATGCAATACTTTTACGATAGTTTCGCGTATTACCGTTGCAAATTTTTGGCAAATAAATAAATTTTTCAGCAGCTTTAAAATTCACTGTCTGTCATTCAGAGTTTCGGATCGCCATATTATTCCCGGATATTGAATTGAACCAGAACGCAACGCCAGTGATGAACCAGTCGGTTCCCATTGCTTACGATACGTATAACGTAACGTAAGGGAAGCGATTATAGTTGTATTTTTCAGGGTAAATATAAATGGTAGTTTAATATATAGAACTAAAACAACAAATCAAATTTAATTTAATTTTAATTCCATATAAAATTGGTCGTAAGAATTTAACGAAAATATTTCACTAGCATTATAAAATATTTTCTATTTTTACATATGTGTCTTCTGTTTGTTTGGCATTATAATATTATATGAAAAGGTTTATTTGTTTTAAATTACATGAGGTATAAATGTATCACAGCTATCGAAATACAAGTGAATCAAAATTAAAGATAAACAAATGAATTTGTTGTTTTTTTAGTTTATTAGCGCAGAAAATTTAAAATCTACTTAACCATAAATTCTTCTTCAAGGTACGATGCTTAATCGTTTTATGTTATCGATTGTAAGTCGTTAGGGCCGGCAATAGGTAAACGTCGCTAACACGTACATATATACTTTTCCATTCGCGAACTACGTGTCCACTTGCATCTGTCGAGTAAACTTTACAAAATGCATACGGTATTAACTAGAGGAAATGCAACGGTTGCCTATTCGTTAAGCGTTTTGGCATGCTTAACATTCTGTTGTTTTATATCTACAGTTTTCCTGGATTATAGAACCGATGCGAATATAAAAACGGTTCGAGTGCTAGTGAAAAATGTACCCGATTACGGTGCAGCAAGACAGAAGCACGATCTTGGATATGTTACGTTCGATTTGGAGACAAATCTAACAAATATATTTAATTGGAATGTGAAACAATTGTTTTTGTATTTAACGGCCGAATACGAAACATCAGCGAATCAATTAAATCAGGTTGTGCTCTGGGACAAAATTATTCTGCGTGGTGACAATGCAGTGCTCGACTTCAAGAATATGAACACCAAATATTACTTTTGGGACGATGGCAACGGTCTGAAGGACAACAAAAATGTAACCTTATCTTTGTCATGGAACATAATACCTAATGCCGGGCTACTGCCCTCTGTGCAATCAACTGGCAAGCACATATTCAAATTCCCAGCTGAATACGCCTCTTCTATTTAGAATTTAAAATCAATTTGGTTTAGATGCACTTAATACAGTTGTATTTTAATGTACTCGTACTAAAATAAAATCATTTATATTAAATAGATAGATGTATCGATGTGGGCCTATGATTACAAAATGTCTTTAGAGAGTAGAGAGAGACTTGACAATTTACAAACAAGTTTTTTGAGGGAGTGGGAGTTGCGTGGGTTTACACAGATACTGATACTGAACGCGAATATCTATAGGTATATATATATATATATATATACTACAAGAACATATTAAAATTTTACATAAACTCATAGCCGCCATCGTCAAAGTTGCGATTGCCCACCATAGGACCGCCGGCACCCATCTGATTTGGTTGCCCGCCCATTTGGGGGCGAAACTGATTGCCGGGCGTTTGATGCTGCAACAGCTGACGGAGTCCTGGATTGTTGTTGCCCAGCATGGGACGCACCATGCGCTGCTGTTGCTGCTGTGGCACCTGTTGTTGTAGCTGCTGTTGTAGATTGGGATTCGCAACGGGTACGCCCAATGGCATGCGCTGTTGCTGCTGCTGCTGCTGTTGCTGCATCATGTTCATTTGCATTTGGGGCTGCATGGGCATGCCGCCACCTCCGTTGCCCCCTGGGGCGCCGCCCATTTGCATGTTGAGCTGTGCATATTGATTATAATGTGGCTGCTGTTGTTGTTGCGAATTGTCTTGCTGCATTTGTTGTTGCTGCTGCTGCTGTTGTTGCATTTCCATTGGCGATTTGCCCTGCTGTTGCTGTTGCATCATCTGCTGCATTTGTTGTTGCGGCGGCATTTGCTGCTGCTGCTGCTGCATATTGCCGTGCGATTGCTTCTGCTGTATCACCTTGCGCAAGCGCTCCACAAACATGGACTGATTGTTGGGTATGAAGCCGAGAAACGCATTACGATCGGCAGTGTATAGCAGGATGAGCACTTTAATGTCGCAGGCGGGCGTATTGGGCAGCGCCGAGAAATGAACGCAGCCGGCAAAGCCGGAGGTCATCATTTTCGCTAACGAATCAAGCGCCTCGCCTGGCGTTGGACGAAACACTACCATTTTCGAGTCCTTGAGGAACTGACCGCCAATGTTGCCCACGAGATGTTTCGGCATTAGCTGCATCAACAGCTTTGGCGGCCAATTGTCAGCCTTGATTTCGGGCTCCCCATCCTTGATATTGGTGCAGACGGTGCACTGCAGCGAATGCGGAATCTTTTGCTGATCATTTTTAGTCTTCTCCGCCCATTCGAGGATACCGGTCCAGATTTTTTCACGTAGCGATGATTGTTCCTGTGGCTGTTGCTGCTGTTGTTGTTGTTGTTGTTGTTGCTGCTGTTGCTGCTGCTGCAATTGTTGTTGCTGCGTCTGTTGTTGCTGCTGCTGTTGTTGCTGCTGCTGCTGTTGCTGCTGCTGCTGTTGTTGCTGCTGCTGTTGTTGTTGTGGAGCTGCCTGTTGTTGCAGCGCAGGCACATTAGCAGCACTAGAAACAGCTGGCAACATATTGGCATTGGCATTAGCATTGGGATTCACCTGTTGCTGTGGATGCTGCTGTTGTTGCTGTGCCAGCTGCTGTTGCAGCTGATTGAATTGCTGATGGCTTAACATTTGTAATCGTTGTTGTTGCTGCTGTTGCTGTTGCTGCTGTAGTTGTTGCTGCTGCAGCGAGTTGACAGTTTGATTAGGCGGCGCATTTATACGGGAAATCAATGCCGAATTGGGATTCTGCGTTTGCTGTAACGGCATATTGTTGCCAGGTGTTTGCATGAAGGCTGGACGCTGTCCGGGCTGATTTGGATACAGCCAGCGGTTCTGACCTGGCCCAACGTTTGGCTGAAAGTTGGCATTCTGCATTTGATTAGGCACAAATTGTTGTTGTTGCTGTTGTTGTTGCTGCTGCTGTTGCTGCTGCTGTTGTTGCAGCAGTTGCTGCTGTTGCTGTGCAGTCATGAGACCTGTTTGAGCGCCTGGTCCAGGTTGCTGTTGTGGCTGTTGTTGCTGTTGCTGCTGCTGCTGTTGCTGTTGCTGTTGCATCGAGTTCATGTTCATAACTTGCTGTTGCTGCTGTGGCCCACCGCCCGGCTGCTGCTGCTGCTGTTGTGAAGGCGTTGTGTCCATGGGCATGTTCTGAACTTGACCTGACTGTTGGCCATTTGGATTATTATTCATGACTTGCACTGCTGTTGGTTGGGGCTGTGGAGCGCCCATTTGATGTTGAGCTGCCGTTGAACCGCCCACAGCCATGCTATTGGGACTGGGTGCTCGCTCCTTCAGGCTGTAGCCCTTAAGCAGCACCAAATGCCGAATGTTCTTGGCATAATTTTTGGTCGTTATGGGCTGATCGCCGTCGGCCTTTATGAACAGCTTGAACAGCACTGGCATTTTACGCGGCGCAATAATGGATAAATTGATTTTACGCTCATTGAATAGAGCCGCCAGCTGTTCGCACGATTTGCCCTTGTACTTCCAGGATTCATTCACTGACATCTGATACGGCGGACTGTTGCAGATCAATATGCAATGGCGCTGCATATTGCCCTGGTCCAATATGTGACGCTGCTCGCTGATCTCATCGAAACAGCCATGGGCAGCAGCAAAGCCCTCGGCCATGTGGGCATGCGATTCCATGCCGCCACCGACCAGCGGTAGTCGTTCAATTGTCTCAATGACTTTCTGTGGTTGTACAAAAGGGCCATAAGTGGTACACACAGGCTCCAGGAGATTCGAGGCGGTGCGATATGTAACAATGCCATAGAGCGTCGCATAGCGTTCGGCTATCAGGAATTCGCGTTCATCAATTGAGCCCTGGGTAAAGTGTTCCAAAGTGGGCAAAATGTAATTGGTTTTCAGCTCGTTTAAGTAGGCTCCATTGATAGCACTGGTTTCAATAACAAACACCACATCGGCCAAAGTCAGCTGATCCACCTCCATGTTGTGTACGCGACCAAAGCACTGCTATTTGGGAAATATTGAAAAGTACACTGCGGACTTAGCTTTCCTCTTTGCCCATATCGACACTTTTTGTTAGCTTATCGATATGTTTTCCATTCTTGGTATCAGGAGTGGAGGGAATTACAGGGATGCATTGCTAACGATATGAAGCTAGTGTGTATCGATATGCTTACTCTTGATAACTAGAGTCAGAAAAATTTGAGCCACGATATGACTGCCGATAGTTTTCAACCACAATATGCCAATCTGCAAAACAAAACACTTGATTTAAGTAATAATATACAAGAAATTCGTGAAAAAAAACAATTTTTTCTTAAATGATAATGTTGATACAGAAATAAAAATTAAATGAATTTATTATAGTGACTGGCATAGTCGATAAGAATTGCATGAACTATCGATAGGATCGACGATATTTTCTGTTCATCTCTCTTTCGCGTTTATGTTTGTCAAAACAAAAATTAAAAATCAAAAAATAATTTAATTATTGTATAATTAGCGTCTTATCCAAGCAAAATCCACAAAATGCAATGTAAATAACTTCCCAATGTGTTTCTGTGTATGTGTGTCCCAATATTGTTGTGTGTAAAGTAAAGAATTTGCCGTCTGAAAAATCCTACCCCGTGCAAGAAAAAATGGACATATCCAACTTTAATACTCAAGACACTTCTGCTGGCCGCAGCTAAAGGCCACAAAACGTTAAAATATATATTCGTAAAGCAGCCAACGAACAATAATGCTGCAATATAAAAACGCGACTACAACCGTTGCCAATGTGGTCAATAACAATAACAATGGTCAAGCGGCCGCTGCCACACCCGCCGCCTCCACAAAGGTAGCCAACAGTGCGGGTGCAGTCACTGTCGCCAATGCGCCTTCTGGCACGCCCGCACCACAAATGCAACAGATAATAAATATACACCAGATGCCGTCGCAATTTATGCAAGCAGCACAGCTGCAGCAGGCTGGTGGTGCAACCACTGTGTCTGGCCTGCCCCAAAACATGTTCCAAATCGTTCAACCAATGGGCATGCAAACAGTTAATATCGACGGCCAGGAGGCCATCTTTATACCCAATCTGAATGCACAGCTGGCCACAGCACAGGCAGTGAATATTAATGGCCAGCAGGCGTTTATAACGCCCAATGGGCAGATAGTACGGGCGCCGCAGGCGCTGCCAGCGCACGATCCGACCCAGACACAACTGTTCACGATACCCGGCACTAACATACAAATACCTTTGGCAAACATTGTGCAGCAACAGCAGCCGCAACTGCAACAACAGCAGCAGCAACAACAACAACAGCAGCAGCAACAGCAGCACCAGGCTCAACAGTCCGCTACGCCCACACTTGCACTTCAAGCCCAGCAGCAGCAGCAGCAGCAACAACAACAACAGCAGCAACAACAACATCATAATCAGACTACAGGTGGTGCGACTGCAACGGCCACACCACAAACCATCACCATTCCCGGCACCAACATACAAATACCCACCTCTGTTGCTGCCGCAAATGGTCTGCTAGGCAACATAACGAACCTGTTGGGTGGAGGTCCGACGACAATCAAACTGGAGAATGGTCAATCGTTGCAAAATATTCAACTTCGCACTGCAGCGCCCGGATCTGCACCACAATTAATACAATTTCCACAGCCAGCGCCGGCGGCACCAACGCTGCAGCAAACCGTTGCTGTTCAGATACCTGTGCAAACGGCAAATGGTCAGACGATCTACCAAACAGTTCATGTTCCAGTGCAAGCGGCAGCAGCTCCAGCAACAGCAGCGACACAACCCTCACTGTCCAACCTAACGCAATCCATTCAAGCATTGCCTGCCTCCATGCAACAGGCGGCAGCGCAAATGCAGCTCATACCACAGTTTGCGCAAATAGCGCAAATTGTTACGCCCAATGGACAAATACAACAGGTAAACACTACTCCTAGTTGGTAAAAAATTAAAACTATTTCAGAAACTATAAGAAACTATAACATAACTTAAACTAAAATCTTAATGTTTATATTTTATATATACAGGTACAGTTGGCACCGCTGAATGCGCTCAACTATTCGCAGTTGCCGCCGAATGCGAATATTATACACATACAGAATCCGCAGCAGCATCAGCAGTTTGTTCAGCCCCAGGCTCAACTACAGCAGCAACAGCAACAGCAGCAGCAGCAACAGCAACAACAGGTACAACAGTTGCAACAGCAAACGCAACAGCAACAGGCGGCTGCAGCAGCAGTTGCTTTACAGCAGCAACATCAACAACAACAGCAACAGTTGCTCAATGCTATCAATGAGGCGGGAGGACAATTGCCAGCGAACCAACCCATAACCATAACAAATGCCCAGGGACAACAGTTGACAGTGATACCAGCACAGCAGCTGCAACAATTGCAACAATTGCGTGCCAGCCAAGCCGCTGCTGCCATGCAGCTGCAATCGAGCAATCTGCAAGCGTTGCCCATACAGAATATACCCGGTCTGGGACAGGTGCAGATCATACAGGCGAATCAATTGCCAGCGAACCTGGCAGCCAATTTCCAGCAGGTGCTAACGCAGCTGCCGATGCCAATGCAAACGACAACGGCAATTGGCAATCAGGCGCAGAGCGTGCAGAACACAAATGCTGCAACCCCAGCCCTGGCCATGCTGCCCAAGCAGGAACCGCAGAGTCCCACGCAGTTGATTACAAACATTAAACAGGAGCCACCTGACACATGCAGCATCACATCCATCTCTAATGCCACGCCCACTACAGTACAGATGCCGATACAGCAGCAGCAACAACAACAGCAGCAGCAGCAGCAACAGATTAAATTCATAATGCCACAGTCACCACAGCAACAGCAGCAGCAGCAACAACAGCAGCAGCAGCAGCAACAGCATACTGATGGCAGCAATAGCAACTGCCTGCCCGCCGTAACCATACCAGCCTCCATACAGATAACTGCCTTGCCGCCACCAGCGACGTTAGCAACAATGCGCAGCACACCAAAGCTGACCATGTCCAGTATTGGCAGCACCAGTACCAGCACACAGATCACCATGAGCTCAGCCGGTCAGGTGGTGGCAGTGACAACGCCAGCGCGCACCAAGCTAATGAAGCAATCACTGCAGTCTGCTGCGGCGGCGACCAGTGTCAACGTGAACATCAATGTGGGTGAGAGCATGGCGCCGGAGATCAAGCCAAGGCTGAAGCGCGTCGCCTGCACCTGTCCCAACTGCACCGATGGTGAGAAGCATTCGGATCGCAAGCGTCAACACATCTGCCACATACCCGGCTGCAGCAAGGTGTACGGCAAGACGTCGCATCTGCGCGCGCATTTGCGCTGGCACACTGGCGAGCGTCCGTTTGTCTGCTCGTGGGTATTTTGTGGTAAGCGCTTTACGCGCTCTGACGAACTGCAGCGACACCGGCGAACGCACACGGGCGAGAAGCGTTTCCAGTGCCGCGAATGCAATAAGAAGTTCATGCGCAGCGATCACCTGTCTAAGCACATCAAGACGCACTTTAAGACGCGCTCGGGTGTCGACCTCATTGAACTCAACATTAAGCAGGAGCCGAAAATGAATGCACCTAAAAGTATTAACACCATGAGCGGTATTGTGACTATTGAGTTACCGACGAGCGGTGCACCGGCCAATGGTAGTGGCGCCTCCAGCGTGGCCGCAACAGTTGCGGGCTCAACTGTAACGGCAGCGCCGGGCGGTGCTACAATTGTCCAGCTACCCACATTAAGCGGCGAGGACGTGGTTGGTGGCGCTTCCACTGATAGCTTTGGCGAAGATGACGAGATGGAAGATGAGGAACTAACCGAAGAGGATGACGAGGAACTAACTGAGGAGGAAGAGGACGACGAAGAGGACAGTGGCGATGAGGAAAAAATGACCATCTCTGTGAGCGAACTGGGTGAAAACTCATCCAACTAGCATTCGGAATCGCTGTTCATGGAACAGTTCATCTTTGATCACTTCCCATAACCATAGCAGGTCCCGGCAACGGGGCTGCTAAATCTATTGCAACCTGTACAGTTGATACCCAGCAATTACGACTATTAGGCCTAATTGTATTTATGTTATGCGTTGATGTAAATCTTTGTACATAATTCAGTTAAGGAGTAAGTTATCCTTCGGCATGCCGAAGCCCACAAATCCTTGCACTGCTCCTGATAATAATTCAAGCAATTACCTTTTGGGCTATCCATAATTCACAATAGAACCTGCAAACCAATTTTGTATATATCGTAAGGCATGTAAATATACTTCATTTAAATCAAAAATATGTTCATATCATATGCATTAAAAAAAGTAATTAACAATCTCTGTAGCCCAAAACTAAAAATAATAATAAACCCACTGCAAGGATATTATTTTAATTTAATATACACATATATATTTTTTCATAAGTTTTTACTATACGATGATTGGTAAATAGAAAACAAAATAGTTAAGACACGCGCGATTTTAACTAGGATAATGCATTGATATAAATATAAATATATATATGTATATATATATGACGTTTTAAGGAAATTTTTATACTCAAAACGCACAATAAAGTCGAACTATGTAACATATTCCTACGAATGTTTATAAATAAATATATTAAGATTTGGAAACTTCAACCAATTTATTTTAACTTTTATAATTAATCTAAAGGAATGGCTCGGTACATTCTGATTGTGGCTGTGTTTGCGTGGATGTGGCCGGAACTTGTGTATTGAAGTTATCATAATCCTCAGTTTGCAGGATGGGCTGGCTTTCAGTTGGTTGCATTTGCAAATCGAATTCCAAAGTACCAATTGTCATGGACTCCGTATTGATTTGTGCAGCAGCCTCGGCCCAATCAGTGTGTGGTCCGAGTTCCTGCAAATTTAAACTCTGTACATTTTCTGTAGTTGATTCGTTTTCCGCTCCTGATGATCTGTCAATAGTCCACATTTCAGGACCATTAGCTAAGTTCTCCAGCGGTGATTCTGAATTTTGTGTAGCTGTATCTTTAAATGGCAATTCTAATGAATGTTGTTCGTTGTTGGGAAGTGTCGGATTGGGTATTTGAGCCAGCAACAAAGATGGACTTGGATGGCTGTGGTCGAGCATACAGTCTTCTGTAGACTCCAAACTCCAACGATACAGTCTATGATTGTTATCCTTTTTCAGTTGGCATTGTTTTATATGATTGTATTTTCTTATCGACTCGTCGGAATAGGGAAATACCATTTTCTTGGCCACTGCTTTTACCAGCATCGCATTGATGAAGCGCTCCGACCGATTTACTAAGCGTCCTTTTTTCTCCAAGCGTTGTTTTGCATCCCACACACAGTTGAAGAGTGTCATATTAACACGGACTTTAGTCCGCAAACAGAGTTTCCTTTTATCACTTTCAGTGTATTCGCGAGACAAATCCTCGCTAGTTATTTTCTGCAAACAAGAATTGGTAAGGCATTCCGTCCGACAGAAAAGCATTCATTTATTTTGGTACTTACTAGCGGTTCATAGAGCTCACGCACTAGTGCTTTACTAGATTCATCCAAATCCTTAGCCATGCGTAAGATGTTAGCCTCCTCATCACGTTGATATTTTATTAGCACCTTCGACAAACTGCGCGCCATTCTAATATTCGAGTTGTTAAAACTGATATAATTTTTTAGCTTTATTTTGTATCACTCAATGTAACCATGTAGTATATGTAGTGAAATACTCACAATTTTCGAAAAATACTAAAATGTACAAATTATACTTTAGAAGAATATTTTTATTTTTTTTAACAATGTTTATATTTTTAATAAATCTATATAAATTATGATGTATAAATATTTATTTGGTGTATTCATTTAATTTTAGTTACTCGTTAATTGTTACCTGTAGCAAATGTCAGTTTACAGGGTGTTGTAGTATGACAGAGACAATATAACAGAGACAAACTTAATAAGCTTGGTTACGAAAAATAAGCTTGGTACGAAAAAAGACAAGTGATGTCTATGTTGTGCAGCAGTGATAGGTTATTACAAAGTCCTAGTGCTGGATAATCTTACATATAGTAGAAAAAATAGATAACGCTGTGAATTAACTCCTCGAAAATACCCGTATAATAAAAACCCCAGCTTTATCAGAGCAGATCGATGGAGGACGATTTCACGAGTGTATTCTTATATCGCTAACACACACACAATAATATCTATATGATCACTCCTACATTGCCTAGGCATTCACTAATAAAAAAATATTGAACTATTTGGAATCAAAAGTCTATGTATATCCTATACAGAAAGGAAGTTTTTTAGCAGAATATGATAACATCTTGAAAATTGATGTACACCAATAATTTTCCTAGGCAATTAATTTTTTAGCATTCCATTTAAATTGTTAGTTTATTATCTTGAAAATTAATGTAAAATAATATTATGAGCTCTAAATGTGTTTATTAAACTACTGATCTTTTTCATAGGTTCAAACGTATTAGTGTGACCATCATTTAAAAGATGATCAATTTTTGTAAGGTGCAGCCACACATAAGAGTAGTGATCGAATGTATATGTAAATACTGGAATTACGCGTTTTTCTAAGTCTTCGCTTTGGTCACATAGTTAGAAGAGCGTGTGCAAGAGATATGCGAAAAGAGAAAAGTTTGTCGCAGCTAAGTCACGAATAAAAAGAAAAAATAGTTGCAAGCAGAAAGAAAGAATATTATATTTATTTCAATCATATAAAGTGGCTGGCAAAGCACATAAGAAAGTTTATTGTGTTTGTATGTATACATATGCATGGTGCATCTTTCCGTAACTCTGTGTATGTGCGTTTGTGTGTATATGTGTTTTGAGTGTTTATACGTGCTTGTTTTGTTTTGATTAAACCAGGTTGTTGTAAATTATTTGTGTATAAAATAAGGATGATAAAAAATATTTGAAATATCTATCAAAATCGTTATCGTTAAATATTAAATTTAATGTATAGTAATATCCAATTTCTTACCATTTGCAATATACATATATTCTCTGGACAATAAGTGGCAACTCCAAGCCAACATGTATACAAAAACAAGAAGCGACTATGAAAACGAATCGCACAATAAATAAATGGAAGGCAAACGCGCAAAAAAGAAAAAGCGACCCAAAACGAGAAAGAGAATAAGCAATTTCGTCGCTTTAGTACAAAATTTATAGTTACGCGCATTTCACTCAAGAGCAACATTTGTACAAATACACTAAAACAAGAACAAAAAAGAAAAAAAAAACAAAGAAAAACAACCGTTTAGTATTCAAAATTGTTTGGTAATTCAATGAGAAGGCGCGAGTGAAGAGGCGGCAAGAAACAAAACTTAATTAACAGAACTAAGCAAGATAGAACTAACATAAGCATATAATTACATAGGTAAAGAGTGCTGGGTATATTTAACATTTATTCGCGTCTCCTTCACTACCCCACTCGAAAACAGCAGCTATTTTAACTTAAACGCGATACGAACATTCTACATATATGTATATGTGCTTAATATATATATGTATGTATATATATTTGACGCTTTGCCGCCTTAACCTAGCTGCAATTTTCATTGAAATTGTATTTATCCGCTGCCTTCACCACCAAAAGACATTTTAATAGTTTCTTAGCACATAAATACATACTAATGCACATCTTGATGTACGTATGTATTTATATGTGTAAATTAATATGCATTTTGCCCGCGCGCTTGCAAAATCGTAAAAAAGCTGTTTATTATTTTGCATTTTGTTTTTAAACATTTGTGTATGATTTTATTTTGCGAATGTTCCTCTGTCTTTTTGTTTACTAATACAAATAATAATTCAATCACTTTGTTAATATTTTGCAGAGACGCTTAAATCATCAGGCGGTTATTATGAAAGGTTATGATTTGTTTCAACATCCTTCCTCTACATTCATAAAAAAAATTTTTTTCTTTGGATCACCGAAGATTAAATACCCTTGCAGATGTGTTAAAATTAAAACAAAACTTTCTGTTGTAAATAATTGTATAAGACTTAATACTTTTCGTAGATTGGCATCTGGTTCATCGTAGTTCACTTAACAGGAATCGCAGGTGCAAAATAATATGGTTGTCCGATGGAAAAATCAAAATCTATTAGTATAACGTTGATGACCAGCTGGTTTTTAAATGCATTCCACTTTTGGTCCGATGAAGTCTGATAAATGGACAAAGAGATTTAAATTTAAGAGACTTAACTCCCATTAAGAATATTTATCACTTAATTGTATTGCTCAATTAGCGGGAACTGCACTCTGCAAGGGAATGTAATGATTAAACAAATGATATATATGTGCCTATGCAAACATATATGTACGTTATTTTTGTTGCCGTTGCCTAAGCCAGGTTTTGTCTCCTAACATGAGCCCTAACTTGCTAAAAAGAAAACAAAAACAACAGCCATAGCGCAACTTCCCTTAATCCACAAGTGTCAAAAATAACTGATGGGATTTCTCCACTATTCAAACAGGAAATTACTATAAAATGTCTCGTAACAAAGACAAATATGACAGCACAAATAGACGGCAACAGATCTTTCTGTCTGCCGAGGATATTGCCGCTGGCAAGAAGACAAATTGGACAGGCCTCGAAATAACAGGTACGTAAAGTTCTTATAAATCCAGTTCAATAATTAATAATCCTTTAACTGCTGGCAGGCTGTGTGCGTAATATCAGTCCCTCGTTGTGGGAGTTCGAGCACCTGACCGCCCTCTATTTGAATGACAACCAACTGCTTCGACTGCCAGCGGATGTGGGCATGTTGGTTAGTCTGCGAACGCTTGACTTGTCGAGCAACAAGCTACGTAGTTTGCCCGCAGAGCTGGGCGAGCTCATACAGCTGAGGTGGGATAACTTTATATCATCTATCGTAATAAAATAGCTAATTATATTCACTTACGTTTTCAGGGAACTGTTATTGAACAACAACTTTCTGCGCGTGCTGCCATATGAAATTGGCAAGCTGTTTCATCTGGTCATCCTCGGTCTGATGGGCAATCCGCTGCAAAAGGAGTTCATGAACATCTATAATGAGCCAAATGGCACGCCGAAATTGTTAACTTACATGTTGGACAACTTATCATGTGAGTGCACAAATTGTCACTATTTTTATGTATTTGTATGTGTGTGAGACTGTGCGTGAGTATTTACGCGAGCTCCTGTTTATATGCCAGCGTATGGGCAAAAAGGAAAGCTACAAAAGGCTCATGAAAAGAGAAAGTTCTCTTGTGTTGCAAATGTCATTATTTTTTTTTAAATACCCTTCCAAATGGTCTTCCAATTGTGTAATAAAATATGCGACACATTAAAGGAGAGACTTGTATAAATACATGTAATATGTATTTAATATTGATCACTGTGACGAATTGAGTTGAAGCTCTTTTGTTAAAAGCTTTACAAAATTTACCTTACTTCGTATTAGACATTTCGGGTAGATCGGAAAAACGTTTAAGTGAACCAGTTTTTAACAATTTGATGATATATGATATATACATATTATATCTACTATATATATGCTATGAATACAAATAATGTTTTGCTCAAAGTTTATAAAGAACCAAAACAAATGTTCTTTATTTTTTTTTTCTTTCAGTAATATAGTTTAGAAATCACTTGCAAACTCATTGCAGTTGGCATTAAACTAAAATCAGCAATATCAAATTTCTATATGTTTATATATATTTTATAAATCAATACAACATATAGAAATATGTGCAGACATATAAATTAATTGAGTTCTAGAGTATTAAATTGTCGGCACATCAATCTTATTTTCTTTTCGATTGGTTTTCAAAGTGTAATGTGAGCCATGCTTGAAAGGATGGCATAAGGCGCAAGACCGGTTTGCGATCGCTCAATTGGGCAATTAAAGTTCAAACTCATGGGTTTTCTTATTAATAATGGCAATAGCTTAAGCATAAGGCAAACATCAATTAAAATTTAATTGAATGTAAGCGCCAAAATGATATGCAACGCAACTAACATACAACGCCAACAATAACAACATAAAAGCAACACTGCATGACCTCGACATGCAAAGCTGCTGGACGTTGGCCCGAAGCTGCAGCAACAGCAGCTTTAAAGAGAAACAGAGCGAGAGAGAGAGCGAGCAAGTTTAAAAGAGAGTGAGCGCAGAAGACTGTCTGTCTGTATGTGTGAGGGAGAGAGAAAAAGAGAGAGGGAGAGTGAGAGCGTGAGAGTAGCAACGCGGGCATAACGGCTTCAAGTGCGTTTACTGTTAGGCCGGCAAAGCTCGTGCGCGAATGAAATTGAATTCACTGCCATCAGTCTGCCACAAGCTTGGCTCGCGAGCGGACGCTTTAACTCTGTAGCCGAGGCCAGTCGAAACGAGTTTTGCTAACTGTCGCGCCGTCTCGTCTTGTCTCGTTCCCGTCGCTGGCTGCGTCTGCGCCAAGTGTTTCGTAATTTCGACAGCAACAACAACAACAACAACAGCAACAGTGGCTGCTGGCTGGGCGAGCAACAGTTGTGCCAGTTTCTTTTATGCAGTTCGCTTTTCATTTCGTGCGAATTTTCGTTGCCGCGTGTGGAAATGTTTTTCGTAATGGCCGTCTGCATGCATTGAAGTGTTGAAACTGCAAACGCGGCCAAGTGATGTGCGATACGCACGGTAGACCAGGACAACTGACGCAGCTACCAAGTGAGATACGAACTCGGCAGGATTATGAGATCGCATGTGGCCGTTTATCGTGCACCAGAAAACACAAACGGTTGCCAGTTCGCTAGATACGCGCTCCACGCGCCACCAACTCGTCAACAACAGCAGCAGCAGCAGTCCCTACAGTCGCACGCTATTTGGAACACTGCTGCGCCATCAGCGCCTGCCGCCTGCTATAATCTTCGTGCGCAACTGCATCATGGCATATACCATGCGGCTGCAGGAGCAGCAGCGGCGCCACAGCCCCAGCAGCTGTTGGTCAATCAGCAGCGCATCAATGAGTGCGCCGGCATACCGCTCATATCGAATGCCTGCAGTCACTTAACTCCAGCACAGCGTCATCGGTTGCACCGCAAGTCGGGCAAACCGTGGCCGTCAGCAGGCGCTCAGTCTATGTCCCAACTGGCGGTGCATGCGCAGGGTCAGCCGTTGCTGCAGAACATCAAGCAACATCATGTGCATTTACAGCAGCAACAGTTGTCGCAGCAATCCTGGCCGGCGCATGCTGCCAGCTATCAGCTGCCCATGCGCATAAATAATTTTCAATTGGCGGATAAATCGCGTATGTTGCGCTATCAGAATTCAGCACCTGCGGTGCTCAGTGCTCAGGAGCAACAGAAGGCACTAAACAGCATTGGCAACAACAACAACAGCAACAGCAACAACAATGTCAGCAGCAGCAGCAGTAGCAGCACCAGCAGCAGCAGCAACAACAACAGCCATTGCGCTGGTCAGGAGGCAACTTCGTCCGTAACGGACACCTGTCTGCCGCGAATCATTAAGCCGCGCAAGCGTCGCAAAAAGGATCGAAAGCCCGCTAATGGTGTTTTGCTTAAAATAGATGCGGATTTGCCGACCAAACTGCAGCAGCAGCAGCAGCAGCAACATCAACAGCAGCAACATCAACATCAACATCAACACCAACAACATCATCATCATCATCATCACCCTCATCATCCTCAGCCTCTTCTTCATCCTCATCCTCATCTTCATCCTCATCCTAATCTTCATCCACATCCTCATCCTAATCATCATCAAGCCATTAACACAGGCGGCTATGCGCGGATGCTGCCCATGGCCAGAGACAGAGGCATGCAGCATGATCATAGTCATGGCGTTTGCTTTTGCCGCGACTGCGATCCTTTGCGTTCACTGTGGGATTATCCGCTGCGCCGCTCGCTGTCCGATGCCTCCTCCAGTGGGCAGGGCGCTAGTAACTCAAGCAATTCGTCAACGTCCACGCACTCGGATAACTCGTGCGCCAGCTCGATTTGCTCACAGACTATGCCTAACAATTTTGATGAGACGGAACATTTTGCGCCCATCACCGGCGACAGCAGTCGCGCCGAAATTGTGGGCGTCATTGGCTCACAACGAAGTAGTCACGCCCACACAGCATCAGCAATGGCAACGCCAACTGCAACGGCAACAGCATCAACTCCGGCATTGTATCTGAGCGACTCGAGCGACTCGGGCTATGGCGACATCCTAAGCGGCATGAATATTGCCAACGATCTGTTTGCCAGCTGCTTTGGCAATGCAGCGGCTGCCAACGCAGCTGAGACGCTGCTCGACGAGAGCATCAACGAGATTTCGCGCAAGCTGATCGAAACTTGCGCCGTAAACGAGCCTCCATCAAATGAGGTAGACGGCAGCAGCAGCAGCAGTGGCAGTGGCAGCGGGAGCGGCAGTGGCGATGGCATTGCTGGCGACAGTGACAGCTGTTCAGCATCTGCTAGCGACAGTGGCTTGGATAGTGCTGGCAGCTACAGCTCCGAGGCGCTTGTCTTCAATTTTGAGCATTTGAATTTGATGGATAAAAATTTTGAGACGCCCACGGCTTTGGATTTTCTCTTAGACTGCAACAACAATAAAAGCAGCAGCAGCGACAGCAACAGCAACAACCACAGTGCTGACTGCAAGGCAACGGCGCAGCAACAATTTTATAACAATTGCTTTGACTTGGTGTGGTGTAGCAACGGCAATGGCAACGGCAACGGCAACGCCAAAAGCTGCAACAGCGACAATATCGCAAGCCAAATGACAGCTGGCAAAGGCGGCGACAGCAGCGCCACACCCACAACTTTAATACTAGGCACAGTTGGAAAATTGAAGCCAGCATTTTCCACCATCTCGTGACGATAAACTAATCACACATCAACGTAATCCAAACCAAAACCAAAAGCCCACGAAACGATTTGTTATCGTTGTTGTTGCTGTTGTTCCATTTCCCTGTTGGGATTTACGATCAACACGCTTCGACGTCCCATTGGAAATTTGAGCTAATTGCCAAGCCGTTTTCATGTGGGCTGTGTTTGCGTGGGCGTGTGCGTTGCATAACCCGAACCGTTAACCCACAAAGTTAAGCGAGTTGTCAGCTGAAGAGAAATTGAAACGAAACAGAAAAAAAAAACAAATAAAAAAATAAAATATACGAGACATTGAAATTAATGCGCCATGGGCGCAACAACAACAACAACATCGTCATCATCATCAACATTTGGCGATATGACTAAAGATGTCTGCGCTGGAAACCTTGTAGATCTGCCTATATAAATATATATATATACAAATATATATATACATATGTACATGCTACTTTCACTTTCACTGCGGCGGAAACGATTTGTTTTTGCTCCGACAAGCGTCGATTCAACCACAAAGGCAACAGCAACAACGACGACAACAGCAGCAGCAGCAGAAACAACAACGAAAACTCTTATGCAGATTTTTAGCCGCAAAACTTATAGAAATCGTGCCTTGACAAGAGGCCCAGCAAAAAAAAAAAAAAAACAAAATTGTAGATGCGAATAAATACTACACACGGCTACAACTGTGTATAGATTTATCAGTTAGACACTATATACAGCATATATAAATATATAAATATATATATAAATATTTAAATATATATATATAAATATATAAATATATATATATATATATATAAGATATATATATATATTTGTATATCATAAGTAATGACGCATAGTTTGTACAAAAGGCTAAACAGTTTCTGACAATTGTTTTAGTATTTCTCTTATTTTCTTTTGTTATTTGTGCATAAACGTTTTGTATTTGAAGCTTTGACTCGCAACAAAGACAGAAAACAATGCAAAATCGACTAGTTTAAATCGGTGATCTATTTATTAGACATAATGAGACAGCAACGTAAATAATTGGTCTAGAAAATTGGGGCTAATCAATTCAGTTATGCTTCAAGAAATATTGATTTTAATGCTCGCCATTAATAAATTTGTTTCACTTTCTTAGCTTGTTTATTTGCTCTCTATTTTTGTGACCTCAATTGTTTGCCTTGCTGCGCCAATAATTTGCTTCTAATTAAGTCACGTTCCTAATTAACATATGTCTAACTTCAAATTTTGTATTTTGGGTTTCGTAGTTTTCGTATTTGGTGTGTTTATTTTAGTTCATATTTTAATTTATAGAGCGCTACAAAGTGAACTTTTTAGTTGTCTAAGTTATTCATATTTTAATGCTGTTGAGACAAATCACATTTCAAGACACGCAATGATCTCTGGCAAGTAAGTGTTGCACTCGATTCGAGTTAAGATCATAATAATATATCTTCTCAATATATAGAAATAGATCTAGGCTTGATTATAGCAATCATAAAACTACAATACAATAATCTCAATTTATAGGCATATATTCAGATGTGTATGTTTCAAAATATGCTTTAGATATTTTTTTAAATATTTATTTTTTGTCAAATATTTTAGAATATTTTAAATAGTTACTGTTGGGTCTTTTCATTCTTTATGTTTATAAAAAGTTTTTTTTATATCTCATATTTGCTAACATTTTATATTTTCATAACATAAGTTCTCAAGAGAGATTTTCGAATTATTCAATTGCTGCTCTGGTGGTGTTTTCAAGCTAAGCGAACCATTTGAATGCATTCAGTATGCATTGTATTCGCAATTATCTATTATTCACTTGACTGGATCGGCGCTAATTTCGAATTGATTTTTGGGTCAGATTTTTGTATCGTTGCAGCAGCTGTTCTGCTGAGGGTTAAGGTTTGGTCGGCTTATCAATGGAGCCGCGCTTTTTAATTTGTTAGACACTTTTTCCAATTATGCCAAGCTCTGATCACTGAGCATAAAATCTAAGACAACAGTAGCACCAGCAGCAGCAGCCCTAGTTACCTGCTTATTTAGCAGTTGGCGCCGAGTAAAAGTTTTCGCCTTTTTTAATTAAAAGAAACTCACGAGCGCGCACAGAAATTGCATTGCTTGTCTCAAGTTTTCCATTGCTGCTGCTGCTGCTGCTGCTCGGCATGCTGGAAAAATGTCACAGTTTTCCACGATCAAGTCGAGTTCCGGCCAATGGCGAGGCCGCCAGGTATGGTGCCGGTTGCTTTTGTTACCATTCCCCACATTAAAAGAAAAATTATTGCTCGCAACTAATTTATTTAATTAAGATTATCACTAGTTTGTAATTGTAATTGTAATCGTAATTGTGTTAAAGTAAGCTCAAATGTTTATCTATCTTTATGTCCATATGTTGTCTACTCGTTTTTGCACAAATAACAAAATGATGGCGTTTTCTTTAATATATTATTACTATTATAATTATTATTATTATTACTATATACATACATTGTACTTCAAATCAAACTCTCATTCCATTTAGCTTTAAGCATCTTTATTAAGTTTTATTCTTGTTGCTCGCACAATACTGCAATTATTATTTATTTTGATTAAGCGTGAACGAGAGCTCAATAAAGTTTATAAATAAACGAAAGAAAAAGCAACGATTGTCTGTGGAAAAGTGTTCAAACAAAAGGCAAAAGGCAAAAAAAAAAACTGATTACTGTTTTGATAGCCCCGAAAAGTTTGTTTTCCTCAGTGGCTCAGTCAGCCACAAGATTTCTAATGGAGCACGTTCGAGCCGTTGTCGACGGTTTCAAAATAAACAAACGGACAAACAAATAAGCAAGTCCGGAGAGAGACAGACAAATAAACATACACTACTCAACACTGGAGCAGCGATCTTGGGACCGTGGCTGCACTTCAGAATGAACTTTCCAAAACATTAGCCAGCCCAGCGAACGAACTATTTTTTTGTTTTTGTTTCTGTTTTTTTTTTTATTTTGTATGAATTTTACAGCCACCCAGCGTTGAATTGCTGCGCAAACTTTGAACCATCTCTGTGTGTGTTATTTGTGGAGCTACCTTTCACCTGGTGTCGCGTCTTTTTCCACTGAGAGCGACGGCGGCGGCGGTGGCTCGTATTGAAAATGTTCGCAGAGATCCGCTGTAAGAACCGTAACTGGCGAATTAATTTCTTTTTGTGGGTCCACAAATTGCCGGTCATTTGGCTAATTAATGTCTCTATTTTAGGTTTAGGGCCTCGTCATCTTTTTCTATTCATTTTGCTACGATAATTGCTGACCGGCAGCAGCAGCAGCAGCATAATGCGGCTGATTCCTAAAGAGCCCGCTTATATTCTAAGTCGCTTCTTTCAACAACTTTGCTGACATTAAGTCTTCTTCTCCTCTCTCTGTCTCTCTTTATCTATATGTTTACCTTTTTCTCTTACTCTTGCACAACCCAGTGCCGGCAATCGTCCAACCGTTTGGGACGCGCTTTGAGTGGGTCAGTGGATAATTGGGTCATTTGCAACACTGTTTGCGCCATCACACTGGCAGTGGCCAGAGTCAGAGCCGGAGCCGAAGCCGGAGCTCCCCTCAAATGACAATGAAGAGACGCCAGCCACTGGCTAATGTGTTTAGCTACGTCAATAAGTGCGTCGTCTCCTCCGTCTTAACGTCTCGGCCAAGTCGTGTTCTCGTCGTCGTCGCCGTCGGCCAACGGAGCATTCCATAGTTAGCGTCGTCTTCTACAAGATATATGCTTGTTGCTGTCGCTGTTGCTGTTTCAGTTTCTGTTTTAAGCTTCTACAATTTAATTGTTACTGAATGCCCTTTCAGTTAGATTGCATTAGTAATTCTATCACGTTTGCAGACCTCACAATTACGATTCGACCGAATTCTGTGTGAACTTTGACAATGCTTTTAAGTTATTGCGATATTGTTTTCTAGGGAATACCATTAACGTTATAAATGAATTACAAGTGTACTTGGTGGCATATATATATTCTTTAAATATTATCTTATAGGGAATACCTTTAACATCATAGATTAACTGAATGTCTTATAAATTCTTTAGCTACGGTTATGTGTTATGTGAATTCCTGTGAATGTTTGTATATTGGGAATGTCCTAAATGTAATTAGTGTTCATAAAATATGTAAATATTTTCCTTTAGGAGAAGCCTGTAAATATTTTACTTTAGGGAATGCCTTTATGGTTTTAAAGGGAATGCCTACAATAATATTAATGTTGTTAGTGTCTTATAAATTCTTGATATATTGTCTATAGGGAATACCTTTAGCATTATAAATTTACTGTGCGCATTTCCTCCTCAAAGCTTTGTATTAAGTTTTAATGCGTTTCCCATTTTTTTTATGCAAAATCCATTCTAGAGACTTTCAGAAATGTACTTCAAGTAGCCTTTCTCTCTGTCAGTCAACGAGAGTCTATTAGATTGGCTTGGGCTTGTTATGGCTAATCGATCGTGCATTATAGAGCATTGGCTTCTAATTTTCTCTTAAAGCTTAGACTCTTAATCTATTTAAAATAATAATGCTTGTTATCGTTTTTACGCTTTGGTTTTGGCTAATTTGTTAGCTGTTTTTTCACCTTGTTTTTTTTTCTTTTTCCTTTTTTTTTTGGATCACAACGTGAATTTTCCATTTGGCATGCATTTTTGCTCGTTTGCTTCAGCCAGCTGCATTTTCAATTTCTTGCTTCATTTGATAGATACAACGGCTTTTCCAATGAAACTGAAAGTTTTTTTGTTAGCCCGTTCGGTCCACTAGACCAATAGCCCAGTTGCGAACTCTTAAGCCAAATAGAAGCCGGCTGCACCGTAAGCAAGACAAGCCAAAGAAAAAAAGGCCAAATGTCTACGAAAAAGGTTACGCAAAATGTCAAACAATTAAGAATCTAACGGCCACAAATGTCATTATTACATTTATTTCCCACTTTTAATGTCGTCTGCTCTGTTCGTGCTTTTAGCTGTTATTGTCTTCAGTCGTACCTCTTCTTCTTGTTCAGCTTCTTCTCGCCGTTGCTTCGTTTTCTGATTTTCACAGATATTTTGCTGTCAAAGCTTTTGTGGCCTATGCCTGGCTACATCGGAGCAGCTAACATAGCCATAAAGTGCTACTTAGAAGTAGTCGAAAGATCTGTAATTTACCCACCTGCAAAACAAACAATTTCGTCTAAGCGTGTCTGCTGTAGTGCTGCTCTTGCATATAGTTCTGATATTTGGCTTTAAGTATACCCTGAAGCCATTGGAAAAAGGCCAAAAAGCGTAGTATATCGGTATTTAGCAGGCAGAAGGATTTGTGGCTAATTATAAAAATATAGAGTTTTGATCTGGATGAGGTCTGTGTGTATTATAGCGGAATTTTGTCTATAAATTTTGAAATTTTTGATATATGTATTTATTTGTTTTAAAAAAAGTTTAAATATCGATATTTATCGACTATAGTTAAATGGAATCATGTCGAAAATGATCAATTTGGCCTGTTTATTTATACCAATATATATATACCTTATAAAGCCTGCAGTTTTATTGGTGGTTGAAAGAAGGTATCGATATTTATCGAAAATAATTTTCGATATATATAAATTTAGTATATTAAATATATGCCACATAGGTCATTTTTAACTGCTATCGATATTTACTTAACTGTTATCGATATTTTATCGTTTATTTGAAGACCTTTAAAACTAGATGCTATATAGAGTAACATTGTATTATAATTT